TATTAAGAACCGCTGCTTTAGAACATTGATTTTGAAACTTGTCCATTAGAATCCATTAGAATCTTTAGAAAACAGAATTGCGATTCATATATGAATAGATTTTTACGTGCACCTCTAGTTTTCTCTTCCTCTTCTCTAACGCAGCGCAGCATGGCCTCGCCCCCCTTTTTTATATGATATCTCCGTTTGCATTTAACTTTCAGCTTCGTAACTTTGCAGATATTGTTTATGCTCAAACAGCAACATTACACACTAACTAACGTTAAAAAAGTGAAATCGCAATGAACCACCCCTTTAAAGGTAACTTCAATGCCCTCTTGTTTACTGATCTCAGTAAGCAAGAGGTTTGTTTCTGCCCCAAAAAAAAAACAAAGACTATAAACAAAAATAAGTGAAATAAAATAAAAATGAATTGTAGCCTTTATAAACATTGAGGAATTTTAACCAAAGTATGTTACAGACATTCCATGAAGACCTAAAGAATCATACCAACTTGTGGAAAACGGGCATCCGATGTCCCCTTTAAAGTTAAATAAAGTAGAAGAGGGGTATCCTTTTCAATGTGATGTTGCTGTAAATCTTTGTAATTGTTCCTGAGCTGTTGATTAGATTAAAACCATCCAAGAATGAATCCAACAATGTGTCAAACACATCTAACTGAGTGGAAACCTATTAGTCATTGATCCTTTTAAACGCATTAGCAGCACACAATCAAATCATCCACTATGGGCGGCTGTGCAATATTTGCTGATGCTGGTCTTAAAGTTATAATTGCCAGGTCAAGGTCTGCTGAAGGCTGCTTTCATAAGATGATATGACTCAAAAACTATGTGGGGAACAGCCTTGAAGCCGCAAACCCAAAAGCACGATTACAGACTTGAACCGGCCATCAGCTCTGGGCTGGCCTGTCTGCTTCTGCAAACAATTAGTGGTCTGATGATGACTCACAAACTTGAGCGGTTCAAAAAGCTTTTTGGGTGGCTTTTAATTAACGTTATATAAAAAACAACCTGTTTATGTAACGCAGTGGCAAAGGACACCGAGCGTAGGGCGAAAAATTAGACAAAACAGTTCCTCTTCACTGGTCTGTGCAGTCTGTTTAGGACTTCGATTTCTCAGTTAAGCCTCAGGGGTCACAGGAAGTCCACTGATTTGGTCTAACGAGGGCTGTGATACAGTGGTCTGGAGCGATGCCGAGCTGATTTGATTAGCAAGTGATGGCTTTTGATGGAAAAACAACAACATGTAGCCTGTAAGCGCTAAGTGGTACAAGTTTAGATAAAGATATGGCTTAATTTGAACAAGCTGGATCCAGCACCTCTGGATTTGGATCCCGTACCTATTTTAAACTCCCATCTCATATGGAGAGCTACAGCACATTCAAAGATTTTTTTTGGTGAATAATGACTTAAATTCGGGTCTGTATGGGCTACTTTTATGTCATTTTGAACAACACTCTCGGATGAACAATCCAAAGTCAAGAAAAGGATCGTGTTGCATACCTTCCCTCTGTAGGCGAAAGCTCTTTCAGGTCATCCAGTGTGGGCGAAACGTTCAGAAGCTTCTTGTAGAGCACCAGGGGAAAGTGCAAGTCCACCACAGTGGAGTTATAGATGGCCAAACCACAAATGATCCCAATCAAATGGAACCAATTGTGCTCCACAAAACACTGCAATGTAAACAAACAGGCATGAGTAACACATAAAAACACTTCTGCATACTGATGTCACCAAGATTCCTTTATCTAACAGCCCTCTTTCCATTACGACCCTTTGATTATCCAAGAATGTTTGTCTGCAAACAAGACCTCTCCATCAGTGAATGTAAATGAAACTCATTAAATCACGTGTAGTCCTCCTCATCTTAGTCTTGTTTTGTACACAGCTGAGGTGTTCTGCAAGTCATCATGCCATATAGAAATCCAACAGGATCATCATGTTTGCATGAAAACAGCAGAGCTGGCCCAGATATTTCAAAATCACCAGGCTGATAAGATTATCTGTTGATGTCCTCATTCATCTGGCACTATAGAGTGCTGCAGGTATGACATATTTTTGTCGGCCAAAACCCGGAAACAGGTTAGGATTTTAGCACTTCTGGTTCCATCATCCTGAAGTCAATGGGTTTTTTGAACGGGCTTTTTGTTGAAATAAGGCCTGTTATGAACACAAGCTCAAGATATTTTCAAGTTTTATTCTAAGACATAAAATAGATCAGAAATACCCCCTTGTCATTTTTTAAAGCTTTACTTGACTTGAAAAAGTTGCTAACAAGTGGCTAAATAGGTCTATAGATACATTGTCGGGGACATTAACACACTGAACAGGTAAATTCATCTATTCACTAGTTGCTTTCACTCCCCTTGTTTGTTTATCCTAACAAGTGGCTAAATAGGTCTATAGATACATTGTCGGGGACATTAAACGTCATCACACTGAACAGGTAAATTCATCTATTCACTAGTTGCTTTCACTCCCCTTGTTTGTTTATAAGGGTGCTCTTGCAAACTAGTCTAACTCAAACTTTCAGGGAAAATGTTTTTAATTAAAGACTGAAAGAGTTGATGGATGATCAGTGGTGGTGATGTTGAAATCATGCAACTATAGAGTGGTTCGTATATTTAGCTTTTTACTTCTGGCATTTGTATTTAGGCTTCAAAATTCATAAAAGTTGTGAAGAATATCATGATGAACAAAACATGCAAGAATCATAAACTTTTGTTGTTCACAGAACTTATTTTCTGCAATAATTCAAAAGTCAATGGAAAAATCCTATTACCTTTGAAAAACAGCTATGAAGGACATATGCAACACATCTTTCAGGCTCTTTCTATCAAATATTGCAACTAATATTAAGATTGGAGTACAGTGCATATGCACTTAAATTTTGTTTTGAATTCACATTATATCCGAGCCATTTTTTCACACTGACTTATAAAAAACACACAATCCTTTTTCAATATCTTAGTATTATGGCTGAACTCACTTTGTCAGAGAACCACAGCAGATTGGACTCTGAATATTGGGTGAACATGCCATAGATCGGATCCATCAGCTCTTTCAGTAGGAGCAGGAAGAACTCCTTAGTGACTCCTCCAGCATCCACAGCTTCCTCTCCATCAAAGATGACCTGCAATGATCAATAAAATTGTATGTTAGTCAAACTTATGCCTAAGTGGGCGGTCTTGGCCAAAATATGCTACAATATGGACCAGACAACAGTCTGGCGTTGGGATGATAAAGAGAAACCTTAAGTGGCTTCTTCAAGTCTACGTCATTGTAGACTGTGAGCTCCCGGAGAGCATCGCTGACTAAGAGGTTCCTTCGTACGTGGAGAACCAGGAAAGGGTTTCTTGCCAGCAAAGGTTCCATAGTCAACAGCACGAAGACGTTGTGCAAGTTAGCGCCGCTTACTGCCATCTGAACAGTAATCAAGCAGGCAAAACTAGTCAAAGAGAATATTTCATAGCAGGCAGAGTAATTTCTCTGTATCCACTCTGAAATCAACAGTAAATAGTGATTTTGCAATGGACTAATGCAATATGTACTCCTTAACTCCCTATTACTTCTTATTACTATGGAGTAATGATGCTGAAAATTCAGCTTTACAATCACAGGAATAAATTACATTTTAAAATATATTCAGATTGAAAATAGTTTTCAAATTATAAAAATATTTCACAATTTGACTGTAGATTTGATCAAATAAATGCAGCCTTGGTGAGAAGACACTTATTTCAAAAATTGAACGGTTAACAACTCAGTACAAGAACAATCCTGAAGCTAAAATGAGTGTTAACAAGTTGTTGTTGTTTTTCTTTGTTTTTTTACCTGCATTTGCAGCTCAGCATCTGTTTGCAGCACGGTTGTCTTGGCTTGTGCGTTCAATATGAACGGATAGGCACATAACGTGACAGAACCCTGGGAAATAAGATTCAGATTATCACAACTGTCTACAAACAAACTGATATAGGAGTTATTCAATCAACATACCTGCACTGGAGGGTATCGCATTTTCTGCAACAAGACAAAACAAGGATGTGTTCAAATCTGGGGTACTTTATTTTCAGCTTTAGATAATCAAGATTTGAGGCTTTTTTTTGTGTAGCTATGACATTTTGTATGCACAATGGGGTCTAGCTCATGTTCACATTAACATATATCTTTTGCAGTTCATCTGCAAAAGGAAAAGTGACATGGAAATCTACGTATGTGCAGCGATATACGCACAATATCAGCTTTGCGCAGAAACCATTTGAGGTAGTCTTCCTGGATGTCCACCAGCCTGGAGATATCAGGGATGTAGAAGTGGTTGTATTCCACACGATGGACTTTCAGATTGACCTGCAGCAAAATATTTGGATCAACACTTAGTTTATCATTTAACAACGCAAACAAAATTAAACAAGCTTGTCTGCAAAAACAGATGAAAAACAGCAATTCAGCTCTGATGCTGGGGAATATTCAATCGAATAGCTTATTAATTAGTTAATCATTCACTATTGTTGTGTGGATTTTCGCCGTACCTTGTTTAGTTTCTCCAGCAGTCGTAGAGCTGCACTGGTGTAGCTCTCCAGAAACACAGGCATCAGGAGCGCCTTCCCACCAGTCAACAGAAACACAACAATGCTTTTGTACATCTCCACTAGTCTGGAGAAAACCTCGCAATCCATCAGAGACCACCAGTTATCTGAGAAATGAGAATAAAGATGAATTTCAAAAGCCTTTTTGATCTTGAACTTTTATTAACTTTGTAACTAAGCAACTAATGGTGTTGCTAGGCAGCGGAAAATGTACATACCGAGGACTTTGCTGGGGTTGGCGTCCAGTCTGAGGATGGCCATGGCTAGAGGGATGGTGAGAGAGATGTAGTTTTTGGAGTCCTGGAGAGCGGGACATTCAGACAGGATCAGGTAGATCCGCATGGCTTCCACGTCAGGAGGAGAGCAGGGCAGCTGGGGGATCAGGAGACTCTCAAAGCTCTTCGTGGCCTAGAAGAACACATTTATGAGCTGTTTATTATTAAAAATACATTTACAGGGGTCTGAATACTTTCCGTACCCACTGTATATATGTGTGTGTAATTTAATAACTTCTTTGCCTCTGGAAGTATTTATTTTCTGCTGACATAATGCATGTATGGCTGGGGAAACATAACTAACCATTATTAATGGTAATAATTAACCAATAAATTCAGATTTTTTTTAAAGAAACTAATGCTTTTATTCTGCAAGGATGCATAGAATTGATCAAAAGTGACAGTAAAGACATTTATAATGTTACAAAAATTTATATATATATTAAACTTTCTATTAAAAAAAAAATCCACAAAAATATTAAGCAGTTTTCAACATTCTTAATTACAAGAAATGTAAGAGCATCAGTTCAGCATATTAGAGTGATTTCTGAAGGATCATGTGACACTGAAGTAATGATGCTGAAAATTCATTTACACAGACTGAGATCAGTAAGGTCAGCAAGATTTTTTTTCCTGAGGACAGTACGGAGTATGGAGTAGGAGTATAACGTCACTAGGAGGAAGATAATTGAAATAAAAAAAAATCAAAATCATAAAATATATTTTAGACAGTGTGTGTTTTAAAATGTATGATACCATAACTGATCTAGTTTATTTAAAAAAAAAATTTTTTTTACACATATATATATATATATATATATATACAGTGGGTACGGAAAGTATAATGATGCTGAAAATTCAGCTTTGCATCACAGGAATAACTTACATTTTAAAATATATTACAATAGAGAACAGTTTCTTTAAATTGTAATAATATTTCACAATTTTCTGTTTTTACAGTATTTTTGCTCAAATTAAATGCAGCCTTCGTGGGCACAAGAGACTTCTTTAAAAAAACATCGAAAAAATGTTACCGATTGCAAACTAGTGTATAGTCAGTAGCTGCGATTCCTTTAATTAGATTGAAAAGTCTGCCAACTTTCACCCAGTTAACACACAAACAAGGCTTAGTTCGAATGTTTCAGAAACCTGATGAAGTCTGCAGCAGAGTAACTGCCTTCCAAGTATGCAGTGCTTTAAAGCCCTAAATAAATGATGAGATGAAGCCAACATATCTAAGCGAACACACCTGCTCCAAAAGTCTTGCGAAGGATGGTTTCATCAGCATCTCAAAAAGCAGCCTAACAGCATTGAAATTGATGCCAGGGACTTTGGGGTTGGTTTTGAAATGCCTGTCATCACTGTGAAAATAGCAGGTGGAAATTAGTATCCAAATGGTTTGAAATAAGCTGTAAAGCTATACGCATTAAGAAATCTGATACTGTACTAATTTAATTTAGTAATTTAAGATTAGAAAATGGTTTGCATTTCTGGATTAGTTACTATATTAGTTAAAACTGTTTGGAAACATATAACAGTGAGATTTTGTATCTCCAAGCAAGTGTTGGGTCATGGCCTTGGAACTAGTTAAGGAACAGGTGAACAAATAGTTGGATCTGAGGTGAGGTGATTTAAGGTCTTTCCTCTCCATTGCTCTTTATCTGTGTCTGTCGCTCTGAAGGGATGAAAGCAGGATCACACGCTGGGTGTAAATACAGAGCTGCGGGTGTTTAAGCCTGATGCTGATCCCTGCATTACAGACCAGTGAACCCCACACGCATGAGCACCTGAACCAGAGCCAGAGTATTTTAAGGATGTCAGGGTAAGATGGCTGATCTATAATAAACGACCTGTCACACATCAAGACGGGTTATTAATACGAGTCCAGTTTCAATGAGATGGCAAGATGTGTTTAGCCTTTACATTCAATCCAATCTGATTCAAATCAATAAGATTCCATTTGATTCTGATGTTCAGATTTGATTTGACTTGAATCAGTTTAATAGAATCTGGTCCATCTGAATTTGATTTGATTGATCTGATTCAGTTAAACTTGTTTCAAATGAATTTAATGAGATTCAACTGGATTTGACTGATCTGATTCATTATAATTCAGTTTAGTTGGATTTGAGCAATCTGATTCAATTCAAATCAATTCAGCTGCCTTTGTTAATTATTTTTATTTAAATTTGAGTCATCTGAAAAAGTAAATAATCTAAAATGTGTTTAACTTTTAATTAGTGTTTTGATTCAAATCCATTCGATCCAATCTGAATCAAATAAATTTGATTTCATTTGACTTGATAGAACAGACTGAGTTAAATCCAATTACATTTCATTTGGTCAAACTATATTACCATTAAAGCTAATTGTGGTGCAATTAGATTTAGTTGATCCGACTCAATTCAAAATCAATTCGACCAATTTGATTTTATAAAAATAAAGCTGCACAGTCAGTAATGCAAATTTCAGACCTACAGAAACCTCTACTCTTCAAATGATCTAGAGTTTAATGTGTGCTATAGAGTCCATGGCACCATGTGTTGCTCGAAATGCCTGCCAACCCAAAGCTAGGACATGAGTTTTAATCACAATCACAAAACTGCATTTAAAAAAAATGAAGATTTGACCTCACAACTCATAATACCCCGTCTGAATGCCAGCAACACCAGTTGTTCCTTATGTAACCAGATAATCTCTTGAAATGTTTTCGGCTGCAGTGCAGATTATGAACATCGAGGACGGAGGTAGAATGATTCTCTCATCAGAAAAGGATACCTCAAGTCCCATTTGCTCTGAAAGAGGGACTGTTATTTTACAGAAAGAGTTGTAACAGGGAGCTCTGCTGGTGTCTACAAAGAATTTTCCTACTGACGTTAAGCAGAAGTCACTTATGGAAAAATCACAAGTGCTCTGCTCTCCATGGCATCACCCTGTGCGCATACGCTTACTGACAAGGGAATGCAAGGCAGGAACATCTTAACTGCTCACCTTTGGTCTAAAAAGCTGGCATTCCAACATGCAGTTGAGGAAAACAGGAGTATGATGTCACTAGATGGGGAGGAGTCAAAAGATTTGAAATCAGCATCAAAATCATAACAAATATATTTTATACAGTGTGTGCTTTAACAGATTTGATATCACAACTGACCTCATTTAATAATAAAAAAAAAGAATAAAAAAAAATTTAATTGCAAAGGAATTCTCTCTCTTTTTTTTGCAATTTAATAACTTCCTTCACCTCTGTAACGTTTATTTTTGCGGAATGTATTAAACTGATCAAATGTGATATTTATAGTGTTACAAAAAATTACTATTTCAGATAAATGTTTTTTGTTTTACTTTCTATTCTTCAAAGAATCATGGAAAAATGTATCATGGTTTCCACATAAATATGAAGCAGCACAACTGTTTTAAACATTCATAATAAGAAGAAATGATTCTTGAGCAGCAAATCAGCATATTAGACTGGAGTAATGATGCTGAAAATCCAGCTTTAAAATCACAGCAATAAATTACATTTTAAAATATTTTCAAATTTTCTTTAATTTGTAATAATAATATTTCACAATATTACTTTACTTTTTACTGTATTCATTATTAAATAAATGCAGTCTTGGTGGGCACTTCTATCAAAAAACATTACAAAATCTAACACACTGAATGATGTGCATGTATGTAAGATACTTTGCAATGCAGCTCATTTTGTCTTTGAAATAATAAAACGATGCCAAGTGGTAGATTTCAGCGAGGCCTCTGTCATAACTATAGTCAAACCGAATAATGTCACACACTCACTTGGTGATGCTTGAATCGCTGTTGTCATGGAGCTTCATCCTCCAGCTGTCCAGACTCTCAGAATTAATCACAGCGATGCTTTTGGTGGTATTCATAATGCGGAAATCCTCAGGACAAGATGAACCCTGTTCTCAAACACACAAACAAACACTTCGATACATAATATTATGACCACAGGCCAAAGTAAACTCCAAATGTAAGCACAACAAGACTGTTTTAACATTAACCGGTCAAATTCCTAATTGTCATACGCTGAAACTAAAGAAGAGATCAAATAAAACAAATCACATCAGTGAGGGCAACATCAGCAGTTTTTTGTCACATAAGCCCATTACATTGATGTATCTGCGCAACCATGTGGATAAGAGCAGGTAATGACCTCCTAGCAGTCACTTTTTTTATTTTCACAAGAGCAAATGTAAAACTGCATAAATGTAAATATCAAAACCACACAGAAGCTAGTAGTATGAGCAGGCACTGACTATACTTTATAATTTGTGAAAAGATACTGAAGAATGCACTAATTTGTTGAATATTCTTGTACAGAAAACATATCCAAACAATCAGTACAGCATCAGCTGTGGTGTTTCATGACACTCCAGTGAAAATCAGCATGGTTACCTCCTTAGTAGTCGACAACAACAGGAAATTGTGATCGCCTCCACTGTGAATTTTACCAATGGTGTAGCGCTCGGCTTCTGTGGACAAAGAACATTCAAAGTGGTTCCTTTTTTGTACAGTAGTTATTTAATAACAATGTATCTGAGTGTTAGTCATCAGGGTGTGTTTTCGACGAGTTCAAACTGTTCCCTAAGAGAAGCAACAATAGTAGAATGGATATCAGGCACTTCTCTGCAAAATGCATAGCTACTTTATGTTAAAACACAGTTCAATCATTTAGCATACAGGTAATTTCAGCATACAGGTCAGACGACCTTATAAATTGAATTTATAAAAAGACTAACTCACAAATTATTACTATTTTTACACAAACCAAATTGTGCATTCAACCTTCTGAGGGGTCATCAAAACAAAACTACTCTCTCTCTCACACACACACACACACACACACACACACACACACACGCATTTTTAGATTTTCAAAAAACTTCATTCTGTGTGATTTATTAGCTTGTTTACCCATGGGGACCTCAATTTAGGTCCCCGCCCCCCGTGACATGAGTCCCCTTGAGTCTGTGTGTATTCAGGTTCAAGTCCCCACCAGAATAGAAAAACAGGTACACACACACACACACATCAAGGCCTTTGAAAGATTCAGTCATCAGATGCATCACAAACCAAACAACAGATCCTCTTCAATGCTATCTATTTATATCTGACCATTCCTGCATGGACACACGGTCTTTATAACAATCCCTATCACTCCAGTTAGAGGACTCATTATTCAGTCCCTCAAAATAGCAGACCCTCTATATATGCTTCAGATGGAAACCCATTAAAGCACGATACCGCAAAACAAAACACTCATCTTAACTATGGTGAAATTATATGGAGCTTTTTCATTCAGTATAGCCGTGTCCTAAAATACACAAGAGTGTGCTCAAATTGACCTCTATTCAAAAAAACTAAGTGTGACTGATAATTAGTTTTTGTAACAGATGATAAGTCTGAACCGTTTTATTCTTTTAATTATATTTATTTATTCAAAAGGAATTCACATTAAAGCTCTAATATAAATGTTAAATACATACTTAGGCATGAAAAACATCTTAGGGCCAGATTTACTAAACAGGGCAAATTAACATGAGACAGCAATCCTATAAACGTTCTGAGGTCGATCTACTGACAATGCGCAAAAAAAAGAACACAGATGCAGCCAGATCATTTTCATTATGAACCATCCTTTAAGGTTCCAACAGAGTTAGAAGAATAATGAAACTGTAATGATCATGCACTCGTCAGGTCAGATAAATTGTAATTAACATTTGGCTTGTTATACTTTATTTTGATTATTTATTTAATCCATTCACAATATACGACAATGGCCTGGTGATCATGTGAACATACTTGTGTGTGTATTTCCAATGCACAGGGGCTGGATGTTTCTGACAGGAAGTGGGCTCTTAGCATTTCCTCTGAGGCCAGTACCCAGCTGGCCCTGACTGTTGCAGCCGAAAGCGTAAACCAGACCAGTGGAGGGCACGAATGCCAAGGTGTGGTGCCTGTGACGTACACACAGAGGTGTGCTGTCAAATATCCCATCTCATACTTATCTGATGACTGCATGCACAAAATGAGGTATTTATTAACCAGACTAACTATTGCATGTTGAAGGCTTGTTTATGGAGGAGCAAAATTCATTTATGGAGTATAATTACTATTTGGCAAGAAATGGCCTTGTAATAAGTGCAATGTAAATCACTTTGGATAAAAGAGTGTGCTGAATGATTATTACTCAATTAAAAACATGTTTTATTCTTCTACACCATATTTTTGTTCCTGCAATTTTTGTTACACAGCAAAACACATGGCAGCATTCAACAGTTTGATTAATTTCAATAATTATCTACTGTATACCAATGGTTAACATATATGGCTTTTCAGTGGATGCTGATCTCCAGAGATCGGGATGGTATAAAATATATGATGATATAATTTATTGCACATTAATTTATTTTTAAACGGTTTTATAATAATTTGTAATAATTTATCATTTACACTACTGTTAAAAAGTTTGGGAAGATTAAAAGATTTTTTTATGTTTTTGAAAGACTATCATATGTTCACCAAGGCTGCATTTATTTTATCAAAAATACAGTAAAAACAATAACATTGTGAAATATTATTACAATTTAAAAAAAAAATTCTATGTGAATATATTTTAAAATGTAATTTATTCCTGTGATGGCAAAGCTGAATTTTCAGCATCATTACTCCAGTCTTTAGTGTCACTTGATCCCTCAGAAATCATTCTAATATGCTTCTAATATTTCATATTATCAATGTTGAAAATGCATGTGCTGTGTAAACCATGATATGTTTTTCAGAATTATTTGATAAATAGAAATTTAATTTGTTTAAAATTGAAATATTTTATAACATTATAAATGTTGTTACTGTCACTTTTGATCAATTGAATGCATCCTTGCTAAATAAAATTAATATTGCATTAATAAACATTTTTAATAAAACTGTATTAATACACAATATTTACTCAAAAATGCAAAAAATATATGTGCATTATCCATACGGTGTTAGTATATTTTGAAAATTACACAAATTAAAGCTAACACTAAAGGAAATCAGCACATTCACCAATCTAAAACAGATGGACACAGAAATGTGCATCTTGTCTAGTATGTATACTTACCGCCCACAAGCGATCTGAGACACCTCAGTGCCCATGAGCTCCATAACTCTGCGTGGAAGAGGCTCGTTTCTGGTGGAATCGTGGCCTAGCTGTCCTCTTGAACCATTTCCAAATGTGAACAGACCCCCTTCCTAAAGCAAACACAGCACAAACAGCAATGCTTCAATGCTCAGGACTAAAAATGACAAATACAACTGAACTGCAGCTCAACAAAAATTCTTATCAAAACATTTTCACACAGTAACTAAAAAGAGAATAACGATTAAACTAATGGATGTTAAAATAACTGCAGCAATTAGACTCAAATTCAAACCTTAACATTTTGATAAATATGTAAAATATTGCTAAAGGGCAACACTGTCACGCATTAAAAATCAGGTTGAATGAGTATGTTTTTCAGCACACTGCTATACTTTGGCTGTATGATCAATACCTTTGTCAAGGCAGCGGTGTGCTCCTCTCCACAGCTGATGTACACCACCTTCTGTGAGCGCAGGAACTTGATGTGACAGGGAACAGCCCGATCTGTGAGATCACGGACAAAAATTATGCCACTCTTTTAATCCTATTCAATTTGGACTGACAGACAAATCCTATATAAGTAAAAGTAATGTTACAAGAAAAGTCCACTGAAGAATTCAAACCAGCAACCTTTTGGTTACCTGATTTATAACCTCTAGGTCAGTGTGCGTTTTACCTTGCTCGTCATTGAGGCCTAGTTGCCCGGCGCTGTTCTTCCCCCAGCCGAACACGGCTCCAGAGAGCGACAGGGCGAAGCTGTGGTCTCCTCCAGCGCTGATCTGAGCCAGTGGGATCCCACACAGAGATCTGAGCGGTTGAGGAGACAGAGTGCTCGGCTCTCCCTTCCCTAAACCCAGCTGACCGCTGGAGTTCTCTCCCCATACAAACAACTGACCATCTGAGACGAGGAGGACAGCGGGAAACCTCATTTACTGGCACAGCAGAAGTACAACAGAAAACAAAACCATTGATATATCAGTGAAAGTCTGCTCTTACCTTTCGAAAGTGCTATGCAGTGTTGTTTGCCACACATTACTTGTGAGATTCGATGCTCGCACAATTTTTTAATCAACCTAAAGAAATACATAAACTTATTTAAGAAAGCAAGTTCTGGACTACATCTCCTAACAATGTAGCTGGTTAACCAACTGCTAAATAACAATACATACAAAATACATAAATATATACATATACATAAATGAAAACGAGGTCCACATGGAATTTGATTTTTTATTTTATTTATTTATTTAGTTAGATATTTACGGTGCAGAAGCTGCAATGACTAACTAACTAACTGAGAGTTGCAGTTTCTGCTCCGACAGTGGGGGGAAATCTGCTAATTTAGTGGAATGGATTTAACACTTTGATTCAATAATAATTAAATTCTCAATTCAATAAAATTCAAGGGAAAAAAACAACATCTAAATGGAACAATTATTCTCAATTTTTTATAAATTATAAAATAATTATATATGTATTTTATATAATAATCAAAATAATGTATTTTGAGAGAGTTACACATCTGTGCAAAATCCACTGCAGAAGGTATTATATAAATAAATATTCATATTCCAGAAGTACTTGCTGCATAACCACTTATTAATTTTTAATAGTTTCTGCACTGATTGTGGGGGAAAGCCTGCAATTTTGTGGAATGGATTTATTTATTTTTATTTTATTTATTTATTTTATGCATTAATGAATTACTGGATGCATGGATGATTAATGGATGAACTAATGAAGGAGAAAAAAAAATCTCAAAATGTTTTTTTTTTCTTAAAAACACAAACATGCACATTCACGATTATGTTTTATAAATAATTAAATTGAAATAAAATAATTATAGAATTTGTTGCATAATAATAAAAATAATTTCAAGAAAGTACAAAATATGTACACCACTTCCTCAGTCATGTTGATTTCACGTTGTCATAAATATAAAACAAAATCGCATATAAATAGGAAAGTCATTTAGTATTATGTAAAAGGATCAAAGGTCCAAGCAGGTGGATGCATTGTTGAAATTTTATGTTGTAAAGGGTTACATATGGTAACTACTAGGTTAAATGGACCTGAGAGTACTGCACAATTATTGGTAGCTGAAAGCATTATCAAAGTATCCAAAATATTAAATAACAAAATACTTGGTTTACTGACAGACCAAGAATCTCACAGTTAAATGCCAGTGGCCTTTATAACGTCACCACCATGTAACCAAATAAATAACCCTCAATCATTAACTCGCTCTGACCACATTGTGCTTTTGAAATTATTCAAATAACTGAGACGACAAGTGATGTTCACATTCAAATAAAGGGCAGCGTGTCAGGAAATGTTGATTCATCTGTTTTGGGTTATTCAGCAGTACTAGAGCCAACATTTAATCCACAACCGAACAGAAGAGCTTTCAGTAATAGCACATTATAACTATCATTAAGTCCAAATCTCTTGTGTTCGGGGGCGCCCTGTGGTGTGAAAGGCCCCATGCAGGGACCCCCTCACGAGCTTAGGAGGCAATTAAATCCTCATTAGAGTTCCCTATCTAGAGCAGACGTTACAATGAAAAGGAAGCAGCATCTGAAAAAGCATTCATACCACAAAAATAGGAACGTATAAATGTAATAACAGGAAGCAATGCATCACATGCTTGAAACTTGACTGTTCTCATGCACAGCTGACAGAAAACACTGAATTATGAGTTTGCAGTTCACCATATTTAAAATGTTAAAGAAAAGTGTTTTGAGTGAACTATTCCCTTAACTCTGCTTTTGACATTTTAATCAGACTGCTCTCATTTATGAGTTTATAAAACATTATTTATTCACAAAATTTTTGCATAACAAAGTGCTGTAACGTTTTACCTGGGCACGCGGACCGCCTCTTCAGCCGCACCCAGACCGAGCTGCCCTCCTTCTCCGGCCCCCCAGGCAAACACTTGCCCCTGCTCGTTCACCACTAGAGAGTGAGCTTGCCCACACGACACGCCGGCGATCTTCTGAGCATCCAAAGCTCCAACCAGCTCTATGAGAGACACCCACAAACAGCCATTAGGTTCAAATCACTCTCCAACCTTGATGTTTACACAGACATCACTCATATCCCATTTACAGATTTACTGCAGACACTGCTAGATTTGCTTTGTGCAGTAAAAGGTTTGTGATAGCTATACTGTTTTTGGAAAGATTACAATATTAGAAATCCCTGTAACATAACATAACATATAACATTTATAATGTTACAAAAGATTTCTATTTCAAATACATGCTCTCCTTTTGTAATCTCTATGCGTTTAAAGAATCATGAAAAAAAGGTTTCAACAAAAATATGGTGATGATGGGCAGTGTCTAACAAGTAAAACAAGATGTAGACACCTAAGTGACAAAGCAAAGTTGTGTGGCAACAAAACAATGTCACATGCAATCTTTCATTATCTTGCCAAGCTGTCAGAAATGCAGCACTGGCTTAAAGGAAACCAAAAATAAAATTGTGGTAAGACAAAACTGAATGCCTTTTTAACCAAAACAGCAGCGGAAGAAACTTTCATTCTCCAGAAACAAAATGTAGGGCATTACAAACTAATGCAAAAACACACGTTTCTCACGAGAGCTTTTCTCTATAATCTGCAATAACAATGATGAGGGGGGAAGAGAATAATTGCTCAACATCTGTTAAACATTTTATGCTTAACATAGTAAATAATAGCTAATACAGCTATTAAATAAATAAATAAAACTAAATAAAGAACAAAACTTCTTATCTTATTAGCACAGACAGGTGAGAGTCTGTCTGCTGCTTGGAATTGTTTTCTTATAAACCGGATTAGCAACCCTTGACTGGTGAGTCCCAGTGCATGCTGGATAAAACAAGATCTGCTGTCATCACTGACTGTTAATGCAGTTTAATACTAGCATGATCAAACAAAAATGTTTTAATAGGACTAAATCCAGGGCAAATGATTAGTTTGCTGCCTCATTTCTAAGAAAAATGCCAATTTGATTATATGTGTGCCAATATATCGTGCTTACATGCAATTGTTTATGTCACATTGTTTGAAAGGACGTGACATAAAACTTCAGCAGCAACATGAGAAATTATTTTTCCATGTTGTAAAGTATGTTCAAACTGAATTCACGGCAAAGGTGCATTTTAACATTAGTATTGAATTTTGAAGCATTATAAACGGGCTCTAAATGTTTGAAAATAATATCTGTGGAATTACAGGCGTGGTATCTAATATTTAGCATCAGCAACAAAAATAATGTCTGAATCTATTTGTTGGGGCATCATTGGTGCTTTTAGAGAGATATGAGCGTCAGTTTGTATCAGTTACCTGGCCTCCATCCTCCCTTGTCATGGCCCAGCTGACCACAGCTGTTGGAGCCAGAAGCGTAAACGCTCCCATCATGCAACAGGAAGAGTGAGTGATGGCTGCCGCACGCAACTTCTTTAAGACCCCTCCCGTCGAACATGCAACAGCTCCTCGGCTCAAAGACAGACGCCTCAGACGCACCGATGCCCAGCTGACCCGATGCACTGCTTCCCCAGCACAGCATCATGATTCACACATAAAGAGGGTGACAGATGGAAGGATCCGGAATAAGGGAGAACTCCTAGGCGGTACCGCCTTGTCGTCTCCGCCTGTAAGTGACGGATCTGGAACAGAACGAAAAGTCTGGCATGAGATGCTGGAAAGCAAATAGGTGAGAAATCAGTGGAAGGGAAAGGAAGAGGTCACACCTCATTCCTCTTTACATATTGGACAGAATGCAGATCATAAACCACCTGGTGTGGTTAAATAAAACCACAGATTTACTAATCCATCTGTCTAACTCCTCCAAAACCTACTGAATCATCACAATTCATTTGATTCACTCTGCAAAACATGTACTAATAAAAGTGGGCGTTTCTGTCTAGGCAGGGGACAGTTCTGTGTTCTCAGTTATAATACTAGGGCTGGCTAATATATAAAATATCCACAATTTTGTAAGCAATATATAACCATGCAACATCATGAATATTCAAATTATTTGAATGTGCTTGGCGCGTTTCGAAAGTTGTTTGTATGTTCAAGTTGAATTTATTGTAAAGGTACGTTCTGAACATTAGAATCAACTTTTGGAGCATTATAAACTGTTTCTAAACGTAAACGAGTTCGAAAAGTGTTCTAAATGTAATTTATGGGGAATCACAGGCGTGTCCTGAACATTCATATCTTATTTTTGACAAGTTTCTGAATGTAGGCCTAAGTAAAAAAAAAAAGGTAAGTTCTGAACATTAGAATCAAAATTTGGACCATTTGAATTATGATATTTTTGAAGCGATATACATTGCATGCATTCCGAGCGTTCGACTTTTTGCATATTACTGTTGCGTTCTTAAACTTTGAATCGAATTCTAGAGCAAATGTATTGATGGCAAAGCTACGTTCTGAACATTAGATTTAAAATTGTAATGGATAAATTATGAAATTTATAAATGGCTACTGCTGAACACTCGAATACATTTTCTGTAGAATCATAGGAGTGTTCTGAAAATTCGAATCTAATGTCTGGACAATCATAGGCGTGTTCTGCACGTTCGAATCTAATTTTTGAGCATCATGAACAAATTCATAACATTCGAATCGAATTCTTGGGATGTCATAGGCGCGTCTGAAATATGATTAAATTATTGGAGAGATATGTGCGTTCCGAACATTCGACTTTTTTGCGTGTTACTGACGCGTTCTGAAAGTTCGACATTCAAATCGATTTTATGGACGTCATGGGCACTTTCCGAACCTTCTATTCGAAAATACTTATGATGGCCATAAATGCTCACTAGATTTAAAATACTGCAGAAGTCTTCCATATGTGGGTCCAATCTGAGTTCGGCCTGTAAGAACAAGCCTGACGCATTTCGTGTCTTTAACATGTCAAATCATGATATAGTTCATATACTGCAGATATTAATACTCGGACATCTCATCGGACTGTACATGCGTTACAGTAGCTCAATGCTAATATTCAGGATAATGTCAGGACAAACTGACACAACACCGCACTGAATCTCACTGAACTGTCATCTCGCAAATGCAGTCCCCTGTCTAACACAAGTCAAAAATAAACATGTATTTAGGGAGGTGATTTAAAGCAGATAATGTTACCTGGTAATGTGCATTTCGTCTCCTGTTTATTTTGACCGTGTATTACTGGAATGGTTTCAGTTTAATGGTTTCCGACAAAAACAAGGAAGTTACGACTCAGATTACGGCGTCACTGATCACGTGCCTTCTGTCAACCAGCTCTAATAGCGTTTGAGTCACTAGAGGGCGACAATGAGTATAGCTTTGTCAATGTACATGTGTCCCTGATAGTTTATTAATAAACAAATGCAGTGTTGGAGATTGATTTGATTTAAAAATTGTAGCATCTGTAAATGTACCCGAAATAGCTAAGCACCATGTCAGATGTAAAAACCCAAGATTTGATCATATAAAATAACATTCTTCTGGAATGAACATTCTATGTGGAATTTTACGCAGCTTCAGTCGTTGAGTCCATTGTAGTGGAGATGAAAAAAAAAACCCAACTAAAAACTAGTTGGCACAAATCTTGACTTTAAGACTGATTTCTACACTGGAGAAGAGAAAAGGCTGAAAAATCTGCACCTTTTCTTATTTTTAATTTTTAATATTTTCATTATTTAATCTTGGTTTGAAAAAAAAAAGATAATAATGATAACAATAAATAATAATAATAAATAAATAAATCAACATAAAATATCAGTATTTTAATATAAAGTAAAATCCACACCTTTTCTTATTTAAAATTTTCATAATTTAATTATTTAATCTTGGTTTGAAAAAAAATAAAAATAAAATAGATATTAATGATAACAATAAATAATAATAAATAAATAAAATATCAATATTTTAATATTAAGAAACATTTATTTTAAATTAAGTTATAAATACAACTCATCACAGAAATTACAGCATTTAGAAAATAAACCTCTCTTATCTTCCTCTGAAGAGAAATATTTCTCTGGTAGTGGATATAAATGTAAACTTTGTATTTTACCAAATTTCTTTTTCACACATTAAAGCGGAAGCTGATTGCTAAAATAAAGTCCTACAACAAACCCAGTGATTCAGCCATCCCCACTCTCCCTTATATATTAAGAAACAGTCCCTTTAACAGTCAATGAAAATCAAGGATCAAACTTTAGATCTTAGTCAGTGTACTCCATCTGCCTCATTCTTCCCAGAAGCCCCTCTTGTGGTTGATGGCTTCAATTACTTTAGCCTTGAGTGTTTCCTTGTTCTGATAAACAGGAAGGTCTAGCAGAGAATGGCAGGTGAGGGCCTGTGGTAGATGGTCCTGAGTAAAGCTAAACAGGGGTCTCACTCTCATCTTCACCGCACTCATACCCAGAATGGGCACTTTCTCGAACCCTGTCAGGAACACTAAAGAAAGGAAAGTGGGGAAAGATTTCAATCATAGGAGCAGCTAGAGTGGATGGAAAAACTAAAAAATTAAGCTTGATTTCTTAAAATAGGTCTCATTTTGACAAATGCCATTTTCAGTGATTACTAGACAGAATAACAACAATCAATCACGGCACCATTCAGTATAATTACTAGTGAACTTACATAGAAAGGCCTTCTTCTCATTTGGTGTCAGTTCCTCAAACACCTCCCAGAATGAGATGATGGTTGGATGCTTAGCATAAAACGATCCTTCATATGTGGTGTTCTATTCAAAAGAAAGGAAAGTGGGGAAAGATTTAAATCATAGGAGCAGCTAGAGTGGATGGAAAAACTAAAAAATTAAGCTTGATTTCTTAAAATAGATCTCATTTTGACAAATGCCATTTTCAGTGATTACTAGACAGAATAACAACAATCAATCACGGCACCATTCAGTATAATTACTAGTGAACTTACATAGAAAGGCCTTCTTCTCATTTGGTGTCAGTTCCTCAAACACCTCCCAGAATGAGATGATGGTTGGATGCTTAGCATAAAACGATCCTTCATATGTGGTGTTCTATTCATCGAAAGAGATATATATATAGTCAATATTACTTGTTCACAATGTCAAGAGCATAGTAGTTATGACATTTCTACATATGTGTTAGCATGGACCTGTTTGAGTATGTCCCAGTCATATTCCTCATTGCCCACCAGCACTCCTCTCAGCTCCTCCGGTTCAAACATCTCCACCATGCATCTGTCACACGCTTTGAAGAAGCCTCTCTTGAATTCTTCAAATGCTTCCTCCACTGATTTATTCAGGATATAATCCACGTACTTGTCCACAAAGTCTGTTCTGTAGCAGAAATTAAAATAAAAACAATAACATTTTTCATCTTAGTAAGATTATTAAATATTATCTTATGTCGAAGATTAAGATTACAATACTTGTTCTAGTGGCAGTTATATTGGTATCGCCATATAATTAGATTTCTTTATAAAATAAAAAATCCTGACCTGTTATAATTTGTGACCAATTTTCCTGGCTCAGCTGGATCCAGTTCGACTTCTGTTCCATCCCATACGATCTTTTGTATAAAGATAATAAACTGTTCTTTTTCAAAAGATAATGGGTCTCATTCACTAACTGTGTGTGAAATCTGTGTCCAAACATTTTCACTTGCAAATCATGATTCACCAATAACTTTCATATTTCATAAGAAAAAGAAAAAAAAAACAGAAACCATACATACACAAAAATCACATACTCTAGCTGGCCTATATAAAATCATAAACAAGTAAGAAACTGGTGAGGTTCCTCTGCATAAAAATGCAGATCCGCATATGTGCACCTGGTTAATGAGTCTGTAATTTGGGTCTGTATAAAAGTATAAAAGGTGTTTCCTGTATTTGAACTAGTTTATGAGAACCTTAAAAGCACGCCTCAGCCTTTAGAGTACAGAGAGCCCTTATGTGGAGATGGCTTGTGCATGTTTTATGCAAATGACACGAGAATCAAGCAAACTAACCGTGAAGTACGTATCCATTTTTTTAACATCGTCGCTGTAGTCCAGGATGTACTGCAAACTCCTGAGAACATGTTTCAGATTGATTAAAAAAATGTTACTTAATATGTGATAGATGGCAGCACATACATAGAGCATGGAAATATATTTTGGCAGTCATACAAAAAAATACCAAGAGAATCAAGATAACCTTAATTGTAAAAACACTCACTTGCCAAGAACTGGACTAAACTCTATCAAGTCTTCTAGAGACGGTTTGACATTGAGAAGTTTCTTGAACAAGGCTAAAGGAAAAGGCAGATGCACTACGGATGTGTTGTTGAAGGCCAAGCCACACAGAATCCCAAACAGGAAGTACTTCTCCTTCTCCACGCTGAGCTGGTGTGGGATGATAAGTGGTTAAGGCAAAAGAGAACACTATAAAAATGTAAAATAAAAATGGGAAAACACAAAAGCTGCATTAGGTATGTAAACTCGCTAGACTGACGTGTTTGGCTGTTGCGCTGACACAGCATTCTAAAAACACCGAGTTCAAGTTAAAAGAAGTTCAACTTTTAAAAAAAGTCTTGAGACCTTACATTTTTTCCCAATTCCACTGTCTGCGTCTCACATTTTTTCAAAGCAAAAGCATGTTCTGTGTGAATGGCCCTTTAAGTATGTAACTAACCTTTGTTACCACTATTTACATCTTTAGCATGACCTACTGAAAAAAGTCTTTGCCTTACCTTTGTGGGGAACCAGCACATAATGTTGCTGTCATTGTACATGAGCAGCTGAGACTCTGGTGCACAAAGCTCTTTAAACACGTTGTGAAAAAAGTCCCTCTTGTTGACATCTGTTTTTCTCATATCCTCCTTGTAAAACACCTATGTTAGATAACCAAAAGAATTCGTTCATACTGCAGCTCGTAACTGTTCGTATGTTCCTGTCTTGGTTTGAAAATAAAAACTACATGCAAAAATATTCTTTATGTTACTGAATGAAAGCTTCACATTGTTCTCTTTCCTTACCGACAGCCAAAATTCTTTGAGATGTTGCTGAGTGGCACTTCTCAGCTGATGGAAACAATCCTCCAGCAGAGCTGTACGTCTCAGAATCAGATTAAAACTACCCTGCAATTAAAATATTTCATTCTGTGATTACAAAGAATATGGACACAGAAGTAATTCCCAGGAAACTTTTTTTAGGTCAATGCAAAATTACCTGCCATACTCTGTTCTTCATATAGCTACATTTGGCCTCCAGGTTAAAGATGCATTGAAGTGATATGAGATTTTTTAAGATCGTCTAAAACAAAAGAAATAGGAAACATCGAGTTACTGGAGCTGAAATTTGCATACATATTAGATATGGCCAAACGTCTTTGTTGCTCACATTATAGTAGTTTTGCTGGGCCATCAATGCATGGATTTGTCCAGTCAAGTTAAACCACTGCAAATTGTTACTCACATCTTCATTGGTGGTTTCCAGCTGTTGATTTGGGGAAAACAAAATTCTCTAGTATTTTTGGTTTTCTTCTACAAAAAATAGTTTATTATAAGTTGGAAGTAATGGTCGATTAGTGTATTAATACTGAAATTATCAATGGACAGCTGTGGTTAACTGCTTAAATCTAACCTAAAAACTGCAGCCCTGTCAAAAGATAATGTGTTTTCGGATATGTTTTTGTGTACTGTATGTTTTGAATAACTTCAGTCATTTTTGTATGATAAATACAGTGATTGCTTCAATATTTACTGTTGCCTATCAAAAAGACATACAGTAGATGATAATGTATAATTATCAGCCAAAAGCCCATATACACCATTTTTTGGTTCTCACCACATCTAGCAGATCATTGATCTCATTAATGATGAAATCACTCTTGGTGATGCTTCTGTTGGCTCTGCAGCAGACCTTCACAACAAAGACACAAATGCATATAATGTATATGAAATTTAGAAGGTTAAATGTTTACATCTGATCAAATGTATAATAAAGGCACCTGATACACCATCTGAAGGATCTGCACAAATTTCGGCAGGCGTGTCATTATGTCCCAGTTCATAGTGTCAGCAGCCATCCTGCCAATTAAATTAGCAGATGCTTTTTTAAATAACTTCACCAGGCCTTTGAGGCAATCATCCGGGAGTTTGGACCAGTTCATCTCTGAGAATATTACAAAACACAAAAATGCTGAGACAAATACCACAAGGATAACACAAAGGCTGAAAGGTCTTCAGCTTTACCTAACACCTTGCGAGCATCAGGATTCAGCTGAAGGATTTTGGAGGCCAGAGCTTCAGTGAGTTCAGTTCTTTGTTGTTCCTGAAGATGTCTGATGAGCTCAGGGAGGAGAAGATAAACTCTCAGTGATTCCACACCAGCTGGATTTGGATTCAGAGACGGCAGCATCTGTTGAACCACCTTCACTACCTGAGGTACAAAAATGACTAACTGCATCTTATTGTTTAAAATGTAATTAACATTTTTTTTTTTTTACCTCTGATATTGACCTTTCATTCTTTGATAACTTTGCAAAGGATGTTTTAACCAGATCAAAATCCAAACCACAATGATCCTCAGACGTCTGATAATGTTCGTCACAACTACAAAGACAGACATTTACATTAACATCTGTGTTGGAACTCATTTTAGGCACAAACAGGAGGAATTATTAGATCAGACTTTCTAACTCTGATTAGGATATTTACCTTGTTTTGAGGAAACTTCCATTCAGAGAGGCAGCAGAGGAGAACACTTTGTTGATGTTTCTGTTAACAACAAAGCTATACTTTAAATAATAGTCTTTTTATAGTTTATTGATATTAATTACTATGTCTGAAATTCATTGTCATTGGCACAAATGTCTTGATTCATTGATGTTAAGTAAGATGTTAAGAAAGACTTTTTCATGAACATACAGTAATATACACAAACTCGGGAGCCTTTAGCCTTTATATCTCAAGGTAAGCACAATACATAAAACTCAGTCAAACACTCACTTTTTTACCACTTTCCATGGATCACTTCCAGACAGCCATCGGTCAATCATTCTGTCATCTAATGTCAAAATCCCTCTGCTTGGATTTGGTTTAGACTCATTCCCAGGTTCCTATAATAAACACAAAAAACATAAGTAAAAGCAATAATTTAATTGTTAAACAATTTGTGAATGAAAACTGCCATGTCTTACTTTACCTTGAAAAACAAGGCAAAGGAATGATTCTCCCCAGCTATGAGTTTTTCAATCGTATAATCATGATTACATTCTGTGTGCAACAAATATTTAGCTCAGTTTAGAGTTCTGAACAACATCTAGAGTAAAAAAAATATTCATAACAAAATACCCTACTATTAGAAGATCATTTTTAATTACCAGTTGGCAGATTCACAGGGAAAGGCACAGACTTATTGATAATTTTTCCATTTCCCAGCTGCCCTTGCATCCCACATCCAAATGAGTAGATCAGCTTTGACGATGCGACTGATACGAGTGTGTGATGTCTTTATGAAAGAATCAAATGCCTAATTACTGAACTGAACCAACACATCACACATATTAACTATGTGAAGAATTTGAAAGAAATCTGTACTATTGCTCTGAAATGTTGATTGCTAATAAAGCTTATGAACAGTCTTTACCTCCCACATGTGACCTGTGACACTTCAGATCCCCACAGTTCAGCAACCACCCGCGGATGATGTTCGTCTTTAAATGATTTGTGTCCAAGCTGACCAGAACCTCCTGATCCAAATGTGAATACTGTGCCGCCCTGAAACATAAACTATTTACTACACTTTCTGTGCAGTTTGTTGTATGCTAAATATGGTATTATAATATGGATATATAAAATATAACAAATTAATACCTTTGATAAAGTGGCAGTGTGTTCACCTCCACATGAGATAGATACAGTTTTCTTCCGGTGAAGACTATTTACAACCGTTGGGATGTGTCTGTCTGTGGTGGAAAAACGCTCCGGTTACTAATGTAACTTCGGCTCCCAGAGATAAGGGAACAATCGTTGCATCAAGGACGCTTATGGGGAAACTCCAGTTTACTCTGATACTGAAGCCTGATTTGTTCACGTTTGTGTAGCCGACTGCTATATAAGTCGGCTCTGAGCGCTCTTTATATCAGAATCTTTCAAATGAAGCGACAGTCTTCGACTCGCGTGCAGCCTGTATAGCACGGCAGCCTACGCAACGCTCGTTCCCTTATCTCAGCGAGGTAACATAACCGAGGTTACGTTAATAAACGGAGCGCTCCCTTTCGAACGGTCTCTCCCATTGCATTAAGGACACTTATCCAATAGCGCTGTGCTATAAGCAAGTGCAGAACGAAGCTGCTCTGCGAGCCCAGCCTCGGAGCGCCTGTACTGAGGGCTCCTGTAAACCTGAGCTAACAATGAGACCCAAGCCGCTTAGGCTGAGGACTGCATAACAAAACCTTCTCCACTTACAGAGGGGATTAGGTAAACTTAAGCGGCTGGTGAAGGTAGATGGCAACGACCAGTCGTTAGACCCAAACTCAAGACATGAAGCACTGACTGACAGTGCTTGCAGGTCACCGACTGGCTTGACCAACACTAAAGCCAAAAGGAGGGTGGTCTTAAGTGACAGGGGCCGCAAGTCGGCTGACTGAAGTGGCTCATCTCGAGGCAGTTGATGTGTAAGCATTGCTCCAGATTTGACCAGGAGCCGAACGCCGGTCTGCCCTCATACAGAGCTCCACAACCCGAGTTGGAGGCATCTGTCCTGACCACCTTCCTTCTGGAGGTCAGTCCCAACGGGACACCTGTTTGAAACAGGCAAGGGGTTTTGCAAAGGACCATGGCTCTGATGCAGAGGTGGGTTACCCTGAGATGAAAAAGTCCCAGGCGCCAAGTGTGGGAGGGGACATGGGCTTTGAGCCAATACAGGAGGGTCCGCATGTGAAGCAGGCCCAGTGGCATCACAAAGGAAGCAGCTGACCTGAGGCCGAGCATCCTCTGAAAAGCCCTGAGGGGACGTGAAGTCCCGAGTCTGAATGACACTGCTAGCCGCTGAATTATCAGGGAGCATTCCGGCATAATCCATGTCCGCATCTGGGCAGAACAGATAATTGTCCCCAGAAAGACTACTCGCTGGCTGGGAGACAGAGAGCTCAGGCTTCAGTATCAGAGTAAACAGAAGTTTCCCCATAAATGTCCTTGACGCAACGGGAGAGACCATTCGAAAGGGAGCAGTAAATCCATTTACATATTCATGCTTTGATATAGATTTGACACAGTATTGCACAAATTTAGTACATTTATATGTAGCTGTATTACTGATTTAGCTTTTACATGATGAAACAAGACCTGTAGTGTCTCCGAGGCCCAGCTGTCCAGCAGAGTTCTTTCCCCATCCAAACACGACTCCAGAGAGAGACAACCCAAAGCTGTGGTCTCCTCCAGCACTGATCTGAGCCAGTGGGATCCCACTCAGACTCTGAACATGTTGAGCAGACGAAGAGCCGGGATGATCTTTCTCTAAACCCAGCTGACCATGAGAGTTCTCACCCCATACCAACAACTGACCATCTGAAAGAGCAACAGATCTGAATATCTCAAATGTCAATCAATTAATGTCAGTCATAAGATCTCAAAAGATAAAAGCAAAATGTTAGATGGAATAGTTGTTAATACCCGTAGTTAGTGCCATTGAATGATGGTCTCCACATGCAATTTGAATCACCTGCCTGTTATCCAGACCTTTGAGAGGCCTTTAGAGACAAGAAAATCTGTCAGATAGATATCTGTTTTTATCATGTATAGTCATTTATACTGCTATGCCTACATAAACAAACCTGCACACAATGGATTTATCCATAATGAGAACTTTTCCTCCATAAGCAAGAAGAACCGCACCATCTCCTCCACACAAAATCAGTCTGATTCTGTCATTCTTTAGCTGTAGTTGCGCTGCAGTAAATAAAACATATTCATCAGTTCAACTTCTGTTCAGACTATAGACATAAAAGACATAGATTTCTAGCTAATTTACACTTTATTTAATTCCATTAATTAGTCCAACATTAGGCTACACTGTATAGCTCAGTAGCTCATGTAGGCCTACTTTTAAATATAAATATATGGGGGGAAAAACAGATTAAGACTTTTATCCGTTAAGTACTATATAATGATGTAAACTTTATGAAATAAATGATTTAGTGTATCATACTTAATTTTCCATCATGATCACAGTCTTCACTGCGCAATCTCAGGACCGAGACCTGCCCATCCCGGATGAATCCAACAAAACTCCGTCCAGCTGACATGTCCTGAACTTTTGATTTCGGACACACGGACCGTATTCCAGAATTGCCATGTTTGACTTTGTCCGGCTGCACCAGCCCGAAACCCTCTCTGACCTGCGCTCCCCAAAAACACAACATGATCACAGCTGACGGATGAGACGATCAGACTCCAGCAGCGTCTCTCTGCATCCCCGGACTGACGAACACACTCTCGTTAAATACAAAGACAAAAACGAGAGCGAAACTGCGGACTGTTTCGAAAATCATGGAACCTTGTTAATTAAGCGACTTCCCACGAAACGAAAGTAGGCTAATGTTTGTTGTCATTCTTCCGCGTTTATATGAGCCAGAGACAATGAATGCATTATAATGGGAAAACGAAAGCAACATCTAGGCAAAATTCTTCCACACCCTCCACTGTGTTTCATTTATTTCATTAAATTACTTTGTGCAGCCAACTGATTAAAAAGAGTGGCGCGCTGAAACTGCGTGATAACGTACGTGGTCATGTAGTAGCTATTGTTTATATTTACATTTACATTTAGTCATTTAGCAGAAGCTTTTATCCAAAGCATATATATATATATATATATATATACAGTAATACATACATATACACACACATATATATATATATATACATACATACATATACACATTATATATATATATATTATACATATATTACATACATATTATACATATATATATATATATTATATGTAGGGAAGACCCGACAAAATATAGTTGTCACATATTAAAATTAAGCGAGTTCGACTATTCGGTTCGACTATTGAAATAATTTACCCAGTAGGGGTATTTGAAATGCAGTCGAGGTGATTAATTGAGCGCGATTTCACCGAGAGACCTTAACAGGTCGAGGCCCAGGCTGCCCCGTCATAACCACAGACTGTATAAAAACAGGTCATAAGGTCATAACCCGGGAATGGAGTTGGAGGAATGTAAATACTCCATGTCTATATAAACCTGGATTGTAAAAAATAAATGAACAAATATTAAAATATTTTAATTTAATTTTTAATTCAACACACAGAAATTACAGCATTTTGAAAAATCTCTTAACTAATGTCAAAGAGAAATGTCTTGCCAACAGAAATCTTCAGTGTATATAAATGTAAACTTATTTTTTTCCACTCATTAAAGCAGAAATTAATTGCTAAAGTATGTTACAACGAAGTTGTTACAACAAACCCAGTGATTCAACCATCCCCACTCTCCCTTAAATATTAATCAAGGATCAAGGTTATGAGCCCAGACCTCCAGCATCTGCCTCATTCTTCCCAGAAGCCCCTCTTGTGGTTGATGGCTTCAATTACTTTAGCCTTGAGTGTTTTCTTGTTCTGATAAACAGGAAGGTCTAGCAGAGAATGGCAGGTGAGGGCCTGTGGTAGATGGTCCTGAGTAAAGCTGAACAGGGGTCTCACGCTCATCTTCACTGCACTCATACCCAGAATGGGCACTTTCTCGAACCCTGTCAGGAACACTAAAGAAAGGAAAGTGGGGAAAGATTTCAATCATAGGAGCAGCAAGAGTGGATGGAAAAACTAAAAAAAAAGCTTAATTTCTTAAATTAGATCTCATTTTGACAAATGCCATTTTCAGTGATTACTAGACTGAATAACAACAATCAATCACGGCACCATTCAGTATAATTACTAGTGAACTTAGAAAGGCCTTCTTCTCATTTGATGTCAGTTCCTCAAACACCTCCCAGAATGAGATGATGGTTGGATGCTCAGCATAAAACGATCCTTCATATGTGGTGTTCTATTCATCGAAAGATATATAGACAGTACTTTATTGTGCAGAATGAGAAAGCCTTTTCTGAATAAGTCAAGAGCATAATAGTTATGACATAGTTATGACTAGTGAATGTTTTGACCTCAGTTTCTCTTTGACATATGTGTTAGCATGGACCTGTTTGAGTATGTCCCAGTCATATTCCTCATTGCCCACCAGCACTCCTCTCAGCTCCTCCAGTTCAAACATCTCCACCATGCATCTGGCACACGCTTTGAAGAAGCCTCTCTTGAATTCTTCAAACTCTTCCTCCACTGATTTATTCAGAATATAATCCAAGTACTTGTCCACAAATTCAGTTCTGTAGCAGAAATAAAAAATCAAAAAAATCAAACATTTTTTTAACATTGAGAAATGTTTCAAATATCATCCTCTTTAGAAAAAAAAAAAAGACCTGTTATAATTGGTAACCAATTTTCCTGGCTCAGCTGGATCCAGTTCTACTTCCGTTTTATCCCATGTAACCTTATGCAGTTGAGGAAATGTGTTATTTTTTTTTTTTAAGTGATGTCTATAAAATATATTTTGCAGTAACCTTATTATTCATGGAAAATGATGAGAACCAAACAAACTAACCGTGAAGTTCATGTCCATTTCCTCAACGTCATCGCTGTAGTCCAGGATGTACTGCAAACTTCTGAAAGTATCATGTTTCAGATTCATTAAACAATGTCACTTATTATAGTACCGCCAATTAGCTATTCTAACTTGCATTGGTCTTAAAAGAAATACACTGTAAAATTATTGATGGTAGCACATATGAAACTATCACTGGTGTATGTTATCCAGTTTAGTGGATATTATAAAAAAAAAAAAACATTGATTAGCCGATCAATATTAAGTATTCCAGAGACAAGAGTAATAAAGCTAGAGATATTAAAAGAGAAACAAGATAACATGGATTAAAAACACTTACTTGCCAAGAACCGGACTAAACTCTATCAAGTCTTTTAGAGATGGTTTGACATCAAGAAGTTTCTTGAACAGGGCTAAAGGAAAAGGCAGATGCACTACAGAGTTGTTGTTGAGAGCCAAGCCACACAGAATCCCAAACAGGAAGTACTTCTCCTTCTCCACGCTGACCTGGTGTGGGATGATAAGTGGTTAAAGGAACACTCCACTTTTTTTTTAAATAGGCTCATTATCCAACTCCCCTAGAGTTAAACAGTTGAGTTTTACCGTTTTCAAATCCAGCACTTTTAGCTTAGCATAGATCATTGAATCTGATTAGACCGTTAGCATCTCGTTCAAAAATGACCAAAGAGTTTCTATATTTTTCCTATTTAAAACTGGACTCTTCTGTAGTTACATCGTGTACTAAGACCGACGGGAAATGAAAAGCTGCGATTTTCTAGGCCAATATGGCTAGGAACTATACGCTCATTCCGGCGTAATAATTAAGGAACTTTGCTGCCGTAACATGGGTGCAGCAGGCGCAATGATATTACGCAGCACCTGAAAATAGTCTTATTGGACGTTACCTAGCTGGGACTATTTTCAGGTGCTGTGTAATATCATTGCGCCTGCTGGCCGCTGGCCTAGAAAATCGCAGCTTTTCATTTTCCGTCGGTCTTAGTACACGATGTAACTACAGAAGAGTCCAGATTAAATAGGAAAAATATAGAAACTCTTTGGTCATTTTTGAGCAAGAAATGATAACGGTCTAATCAGATTCGATGATCTATGCTAAGCTAAGCTAAAAGTGCCAGACCCGGAGATCGCTGAATGGATTCGAAAACCGTAAAACTCAACTGTTTAACTCTAGGGGCGTTGGAAAATTTGCCTATTTTCAAAAAAAGTGGAGTGTTCCTTTAAGGCCAAAATGAAAATACAGCAAACTGTAAAAACACAATGTATATCACATTAAAAGAGGCCTGACTTAACAAAATTGTATTACTATGTACGTCTTTAGCATAATGATCTAATTAAAAAAAGTATTTGCCTTACCTTTGTGGGGAACCAGCTCATAGTGTTGCTGTCATTGTACATGAGCAGCTGAGACTCTGGTGCACAAAGCTCTTTAAACACGTTGAGAAAAAAGTCCCTCTTGTTGACATCTGTTCTTTTGCTCACATCCTCCTTGTAAAGCACCTGTGTTAAATAACCAGTGGCATTCATTCATGCTGAAGCTCATAAATCTGTTTGTCTGTTGCTATCTTGGTTTAGTGAAAATAAATTCAGCACAGAGTAATTGAAGTTTTTGAATCAAAACTGCACATAATTCAGTTTATGTGAATTCAGAGAATTTCTTGCCTTACCGACAACCAGTATCTTCTGAGATCTACTGAGGGATCAGCTGTTCTCAGCTGATGGAAACAATCCTCCAGCAGTGCTGTGCGCCTCAGAGTCAGCTCAAAACAGCCCTGTACCAAAAGCATTTAATATGATGTGAGCACAAAGAACATGGACGCAAAAGTAATTTTCAGAACAATTTCAGGTTGATGAATTACCAGTCGTTCTCTGTTTTTCAAAAACCTACATTTGGACTCCAGGTTAAACATGTGCGGATATGATTTCAGATTGTTTAAAGCTGTCTGTAACAGAAGAAATGTAAAAAATTAAGCTATTTTATCTGAAATATGCATATATATCGGATGTATGCAGCCAAACATCTTTGGTACTCACATCATAGTAGTGTTTAAATGCCACATATAAACCAATGTCAGTCCACCCACAATCCTTCAAATCTTCCTCATTGGCATGCAGCTGTTAATGTGGGGGAAATAAATCTCTGTTATTTTATCTTTCTTCAAACATTTCCATTGTGAGCTTCAATTAGTGATCTATCAACATAGCAGACCAGTATTTGACTTTTGAAATGATCAACAGACAACCATGGTCGAATGCAGTGTTAGTTTCCCCTCGTGTTACATCTACAATATATACGTTTATGATAGCTACATAATAGCATCATCCATCTTCCACCCTGTTCCCATATTGGTTAACCAGTAGTAAGAATTTCACAATTTTTGGTTCTCACCATAATTAGTAGATCATTGATCTCATAGATCATGAAGTCACTCTTTGTGATGTTTCTGTTGGTATTGCAGCAGACCTTCACAATAGAAACACAAATGTATTTCATATATAAAACTAAGGTTAAATGGCTTTTTACATGGCACGTAAAGTAGTAGACAGCAAGTTTTTGCAATCTTCCCTGAGGTGATCACTGTAAAAATACTGAATTCTGTGATACAAGTAAAATAAACTGACAACATTAAATAAAATGACATGTATTTATTAAATGTTTGGTTTTATAGCTTGTATTTTATAGTTACTCTGGTTTTCACAAATCGCTTTCTCTTAAAGCTGAGTTCGTGAAATCAGCTTTAAGAAAGTGCTTTTATGAAATGATTTCAACTGAATAATTACTGTTTCCTATTGTCTTTTTAGAGATTGGTTACATTCATAACCTGAGACGTTCCCATTCGAATGGAAACTCACACTGCGTCCCCTACAGGACACTATGAGGCATTAAAAATTCTGTCATTATTTACTCACCCTCATGTCTTCCAAACCACTATGACGTTCTTTCTTCTGTGAAACATAAAAGAAGATATGCTGAAAAATGTCTCAAGTCAATGGTAACCAAAATTGTTTGCTTGCCGAAATTATTCAAAATACACTTTTTCAAGAAAAAAAAGTCATTGCTGGTTTGGAATGACATAAGGGTGAGTGAATGATGACAGAATTTTCATTTTTGGGTGAACTATCCCTTTGATCATAGCCGAACAAATTTCATGTCACAGGACAGAACAGTTTTGAACAGTCCATGTTGGCTTTTTTATTACATATAAAGTACTGTAAATGTCAGGTCGCTATTAGAACCCAGTTTGAAAATATGTACTGTCAAACCAGGATGGATGTCTGTTAATGAAATCACACCTCACAGTGGCTGGGTACTGTGTAAAAAGCCCTTACATTTTTATTTAGTCAATTTTGTCTTGTGATATAATGTGTAACAAAAGGCACCTTATAGACCATATGAAGGATCTGCACAAATTTCTTCAAGCGTCTTGGTATGTCCCAGTTTATTCCTTGAAAAGCAATCTTTTCAATTAACATAGCAGATTCTTTTTTAAGTAAGTCCACCACGTTTTTGAGCCAATCTTCAGGGAGTCTGGACCAGTACGTCTCTGAGAATATAACATAACAAAAATACTTAGACAAAATAGCATAAAATAATTAAACAAATACAATAAGGACAACTATACAAAGGCTGAACGGTCTTCAGCTTTACCTAACACCTTGCGAGCATCAGGATTCAGCTGAAGGATTTTGGAGGCCAGAGCTTCAGTGAGTTCAGTTCTTTGTTGTTCCTGAACATGTCTGATGAGCTCAGGGAGGAGAAGATAAACTCTCAGTGATTCCACACCAGTTGGATTTGGATTCAGAGACGACAGCATCTGTTGAACCACCTTCACTACCTGAGGTACAAAAAAACAAAAACTGAATCTTATTGTCTACATTACAATCTAATGAACATTTTTATAAATGTTGGAATCATCATTACCTCTGATATTAAGCTTTTATTCTCTGAGAGCTTTGCAAAGGATGATTTAACCAGATCGAAATCCAACCCACAATGATCCTCAGACGTCCGATAATGGTCATCACAACTACAAAACCAGACATTAACATTAAAATCTGTGTTGGAACCACTGATCTATATAATGATATATAATATTAAGATATATAATGATTCTCTATTATAGATCAGTGGTTGGAACTCATTTTAGGCACAAAAAGAAGAGATTAGTAGATTACAAAACGACCTAATTATGAGCTACCTTGTTTTGAGAAAACTTCCATTCAGAGATGCAGTGGAGGAAAATACTGTGTCTATTTCCCTGTACATGATAAAACAATTTAATGGTTATTATTATTATTATTATTATTTTTAAATAATAATTTTAAATAAATATTAAATATTTTTTCATTATTTATTATTCAATCATACTAAATTAGTATTTTTTAAAATTATTATTATTTAATATTATTAATTTTAAAAAGACATTTAAAAAAGACAATTTCATAAGTGGCAGGGACATTTACAAAAACTTAGGTTCCTCAACATCAGCATGAAAAAAAAAGTCAGTGAAAGCATTGTGTATAAAACTAAGTCAACCACTCACTTCTTAATGGCTTTCCATGAATTTGTATCACTTTTGGACACCCAGCAATCAATCATTCTGTCATTTAATGTAAAAATCTCTCTGCTTGGATTGGATTTGGGCTGTTCTAACTCATTCCCAAGTTCCTACAAAATACAAAAGAGTAAAAAATAAGTGCTCTGTGCACTAATAGTTGAACTCTTAAACTGTTTGTGAATGAAAACTGTCTATCTTACTTTGACAAGTAAGGCAAAGGAATGATTCTTCCCAGCAATGAGTTTTGCAATCGTATATTCATGATTATATTCTGTGTGCAACAAATATTTAGTTCAGTTCAAATATTTAGCGCTGAGCAACATGAATATAACAATATTCATAACAAAATAGCCTATTGCCTAAAGATTTAATTGCCAGTTGGCAGATTCACAGGGAAAGGCACAGACTGCTTGATAATTTCTTCGTTTCCCAGCTGCCCTTGCATCCCACATCCAAATGAGTAGATCAGCTTTGACGATGCGACTGATACGAGTGTGTGATGTCTTTATGAAAGAATCAAATGCCTAATTACTGAACTGAACATGAACAGTCTTTACCTCCCACGACTGACCTGTGACCTGATCCCCACAGTTCAGCAACCACCCGCGGATGATGTTCGTCTTTAAATGATTTGTGTCCAAGCTGACCAGAACCTCCTGATCCAAATGTGAATACTGTGCCGCCCTAATAACACAACCATGACATCAGCATCTATTTCCGATATTATGCTGCCTTACAATACAATGGACAGGCTTTTATACATTTTATATTTCCTATAGCTTGATGTATACCATTTTATAATCTAAAAATATAATAATAATAAAAAAAAAATTATACTCTACCTTTGATAAAGTAGCAGTGTGTTCCCCTCCACATGAGATAGACACAGTTTTCTTCCGGTTGAGACTATTTACAACTGACGCGTGTCTGTCTGTGAATGAACAAGAATGGTGAATTTAATTCATCACTTCCAAATGCATAATTTTCATGCTTTGATATAGATATGACACAGTATTGCACAATTTAGTACATTTATATGTAATACTATTATTGATTTAATTTTTACATATTGAAATAATAAGACCTGTTGTGTCTCTGAGGCCCAACTGTCCAGCAGAGTTCTTTCCCCATCCAAACACGACTCCAGAGAGAGACAACACAAAGCTGTGGTCTCCTCCAGCGCTGATCTGAGCCAGCGGGATCCCACTCAGACTCTGAACATGTTGAGCAGACGGAGAGCCGGGATGATCTTTCCTCAAACCCAGCTGACCATGAGAGTTCTCACCCCATACCAACAACTGACCATCTGAAAGAGCAACAGATCTGAATATCTCAAATGTCAATCAATTCATGTCAGTCATAAGATCTCAAAAGATGAAAGCAAAATGTTAGATGGAATAGTTGTTAATACCCGTAGTTAGTGCCATTGAATGATGGTCTCCACATGCAATTTGAATCACCTGCCTGTTATCCAGACCTTTGAGAGGCCTTAGAGACAAGAAAATCTGTCAGATAGATATCTGTTTTTATCATGTATAGTCATTTATACTGCTATGCCTACATAAACAAACCTGCACACAATGGATTTATCCATAATGAGAACTTTTCCTCCATAAGCAAGAAGAACCGCACCATCTCCTCCACACAAAATCAGTCTGATTCTGTCATTCTTTAGCTGTAGTTGCGCTGCAGTAAATAAAACATATTCATCAGTTCAACTTCTGTTCAGACTATAGACATAAAAATGGACTTGATTTCTAGCTAATTTACACTTTATTTAATTCCATTAATTAGTCCAACATTAGGCTACACTGTATAGCTCAGTAGCTCATGTAGGCCTACTTTTAAATATAAATATATGGGGGGAAAAACAGATTAAGACTTTTATCCGTTAAGTACTATATAATGATGTAAACTTTATGAAATAAATGATTTAGTGTATCATACTTAATTTTCCATCATGATCACAGTCTTCACTGCGCAATCTCAGGACCGAGACCTGCCCATCCCGGATGAATCCAACAAAACTCCGTCCAGCTGACATGTCCTGAACTTTTGATTTCGGACACACGGACCGTATTCCAGAATTGCCATGTTTGACTTTGTCAGGCTGCTCCAGCCCGAAACCCTCTCTGACCTGCGCTCCCCAAAAACACAACATGATCACAGCTGACGGATGAGACGATCAGACTCCAGCAGCGTCTCTCTGCATCCCCGGACTGAATATAAAGAGATAACGAGAGCGAAACTGATGACAGGTTCTTGTCTATTTGGCGAGTTTACACGAAACGAAAGCACCAGTGATAAAAATCCACAAAGTTGGTGTTTATTCGTCAGCGTTTATAGCGAGTCAGAGACAATGACTGTACTTTAAAAAATGAAGTGTTATTTTAAAATCGTACTGTGCTGTAAATCATTTTAATCTATGCAAAACAAAAGAGACAGGGGTAGCTGCAGGTCGGAGTAATGGGCGTGGCAAAAGGTGGCGTGCCGAAAGGTGAATGCTAGGCTACATCAGAAACCAGCCCTTCAATCGCAGTGTACTCCAGGGGGTCTCTCTGCTTTTTAAGGATGTACTGTTTGGCTTACTGTTTGGATTCTTTAATATACAAAAAGATAAAATTAATGAATATTTTATTATTAACGTATTATTACTTCTTGCAAAATGTAATATTCACCGCAGTAAATTCACTAATCAAAATCCTTTATATATTGTTTATAAAAAAGAGGTTCAACAGTATATCCAAACTATTTCATCTTCCAAGAATCTCAAGGCTTTTAAAACGGTTAATTTATTTAATCTTTTTTATGTATTTTGTTAAATCTTTCGTTTTGTATTATTTATTTATTGTTACATCTATAAATGGTGCTTTGCATGTAATGTCACCTCTTTGTATGTAATGTTGATATTCTATGTATTTTTATATTTGGTACCTTGGCATTAATAAAAAAAAAAAAAAAAACTGGGACCAAGTGACGCCAGGTTCTGCGGGGAGAGAGCTGGGAGGCCACCGCCCTGTGAGCCCCAGCCCTCAGCCCACTCCCCGCCCTGCCGTCCAGTAAGGCAGAGGACTAAAAAAAAAAAAAAACTCTAACCTTAACCCTTAAATACCTTTATCCACGCCCCCTACCTTTCGGCACGCCCTAATCTTTCGCCACGCCCACTGCTCCAGCCTGTTATCCCGCGGTGTCAGTCACCTAAACGCGTGCAGCATCTGTCACCGCCTGATGGATTGCATTAAAAACATTTATTGTATTCGTAAATTTACTGAATCTAATTACTTTGTTAAAATATGTTCTCAGAAGTACTAACTGTGCACTGTCTGTTTATGGAAAGCTGTGGAGTCAGTCACAGCATCTTTCGGCTATGATTGGAAGGAGGGGCGGCGGTCCGAGGTTCGCAGTTCCCCCGCCGAACACGAGCCCAGCTCCGGCTCGAGAACGAGCACCGATACGGTGCAAAACAGAATAACAGAGACCGGTTGATTACACTTGAATTACTTTTAAAATCTAAATTGTTACTAATAAAATGTTTGTTACACATGTTTAAATGTAGGTAATATTGTAGGCTATACATGTTAAACGGTATAAAATATGCTGTATTAAGTCATTTCTGATAGGCTAATATGTAAATCTATAAGTGAAATCGTATGCCTTTATTATTCCCATGCAGTGAATTAATTTGTATACTTATATATATTTGTATAGTAGGCTATAATGAAGCCGTAACAGTGCTTGAGAGGGAGAGAAAGAGAGAGAGGGATAACATGAGCAACTATTTTCCTCAGTGAAAACTCCTGTGTGTCTCTTGTCACTGAATAATTACAAGCTATAAAGCTGATGAGAGTGAATAATGCGTCAGTCTGTCAACTATGATTAATACTCCCATCTGTATGTGAGTGAGCAGCATTTACTAGCTATGCAGAAACCCTGTGGATCAAGCCCAGACCCATACTAATGGAGTATGCATTCCTACATCTAAATATACCTATAATGCCAAATTTACTTTTTACTTCTTTTAAACGTTTTAATTTTAAACATGCATTTAATCTAGCTCTGGACCTCATTAATAGTGACTTTCTAATGGTTAATTAATGAGACGGTCTGTCTTTCCCTTATATGGTGTATGTTTACTGAAGGTATATTTGTGCATTATAAAAATTTTTCTATTATTTTTATTTGTTTATCATTCTAGTAGGGTTAGGGTTAGGGTTAAATCTAACTGTATTTATTTATTTATTTTATTTTATTGTTTTGATGCATTCGGCAGAAAAAAACAGCATGCGGCTTGTATTAATTCCAGTAGAAACAATCCACCACTTTTACTTCCCCTGGAACCGTATGTGTACCTTGATTCATCAGCAATGACTGTTCAGCGTCTATCTGATGTCAGGAATGATAACACAGCAGGTGTGGTCTTGTTTGGAACGATAAGGTCTTCACTCTAAAGGGACTTATTTGAAAAGCCTTTTTAAATTTTTTTTTATTACTATACGACTACGAGTAGTTTACAAATAAATGAAGAGTTCAGATGCAACAGCCACTAAGTGCTATCTGAAATTTTCTTCTAAAATTATCATTTTTATCAGGCTCCTATGCTTAGGTTCAGTAATTTTACCTTAATGGCAATGTATAGGTCCTTTTCTATGCCATTAAAGTAAAATAACTGCACATAAATATAGGAGCCAGATAAAAATGCTCATTTTAGATGAAAATTTCAGACGGCACATATAGAGGCTTTTGCTCCAACTCAGATCCAAGCAACATGCTCAGAAAGAAAACAAACATGAGTGGTTCAGTATGAGAATAGAAGTCCATCGTCAGAGTTACAATTACTAACTTCTATACAGTATGACTATTTTGAGTTGTGGTTTCCCATGCGAAACCACTTGATGCTGTTTGCAGTGGTTTTGCAGACCAAGTATCAAAATGACGACAGCAGTGTGATATTGGCACCAGACTCCACGCTGCATGCTTATGTTATGATTTCAATAAACATCACCTGCTCGGGCAATGATCATGTTCTGTGCTACTGAAAAATACTCCCAGAAGCGAAATAGAGGCTAGAGATATGCAGCCATCGAAAGCATTGTTGGCGGTTACAGTTGTCGTTGTTACAAACAACTATATATTGCTTTAGTATTTTACAGTTTCTCCCATACAAAGGTTCCATTAGGGTTCTTACAATGATGTCATAGAAGAAAAATTTTTGGTTCCCCAAAGAACCTTTCAATTAACGGTTCTTAAAAGAACCATATTTTTTTCTTGGTGTGAAGAAACTAAATAATCGGAATAATCTTTTTTTCACTACATTCTAAAAAAAGCTGGGTTAAATATAACCCAGCGCTGGGTTAAAAAGCGACAAACCCAGCTAACCCAGCATTTTTAAGAGTGTATAAAGAACCTTTTTGCGTAATGGATGTTACAGGTTCTTCATTAAACCACAGATGTCAATAATTTTATTATTTTTAAGAGTTTATTCACTTATTTGCTTTTCTTATGTAATGTATTTCTGGTGGGCTCATAGAACATATCATCATCAACAGGGACTACTGCTTTTTATTGTATACCTGTAAACATTTTTTTCTGTTGTGTTATTTTAAGTGTTAAAAAAGTTTCAAGATCTAGTAGCAAGAAAAGTTCAAGTATCAAGTTCCATATAGAAATGGCATCACACTGACCCTAACATGTTAAAGCTGAGTGTGTGATGAGTCTGATGACTCTTTCAAGTTTTATGTTTATCTCTGATTTCATCTCTTTTTCAGTGAAATTGTGTAGGCCTCTGGTGAGGGATGGTACTTTGCCTTAACTTGAATGTTTCTGTGAAAATTTCAACCCCGTGGCTAAGGGGAATTTCGGTCTTAAATTTTGCTTGTCATTCCTTTACAGTAAATCAAATACTGTATAATGATTTGGTAAAAATATAGGTCGAGTAGCCTTTAAACACTAAGAAAAAAACACAGCAAAGCAAATGAAGAAAAATACCTTTCTTTGGCTCCTTAATAAGGCGCTGTTGCTTTCACAATGTAAAAGTCTAAAGAATTTTTGATTGAAGCTTCCAATATTTGCTTACTTAGACCTCTGGGCATTGAGGAAAACTGACATGTTCAAACACACTGTTATGCTGCACTAGCATGAAAACACAGCCATAAATGCAAAACCGTTTCATGAATTTGAATACAATCTTAAAATATATAATAATTCAAATATATTAGTATAATTCATTATACTGTTTATAATAGGTATTTCTGTTCATGGGAGAAGAAACTTCTAAATGCAGGGTCAGTGGCTATATGATATCTAAAGCTCATGTCTTACCATTAAAACTGACAAGTTTCATTTATTGAAAGACAGCAAGAGAAAAATGCCTTGAGTAAGCTCAGTGTATTCCTTTTCATTCGTTGGTAAAAATAGTAAAATAAGACTTTTTGCAGAAGCACGTAGATAATGAAATTTGCACAGAAAATTAAGAAAAATGATATTAATTGTCTTGGAGAAATGTAAATATTTCTGTGCTTTTTAAAAAAAAAAATTTTTTTTACATAAGATCGTTTAGAGTGAGCAGTTTTCTTTTGATTAAGACATAATAATGATAAAATAAAAAAAAATAAAAAATGAATGAATTAATTCCAAATACAAGGTAAAAAAAAAAATGTTCTTATGCAAAACATGCTTTAATCTAAGATTTACTAATTAAATTTGTAAATCAATAACCATCAGTCACATTAGGACATGTCAATGATCGAGAGTAAGATGCTGTAATGACAGATTTGACTCATAAAATGACTCCAATGTGACTCACTGAGATGTGTTGCTTCGCTCCGTCACACCTGTTGAAAAATCCAAAAATACCCAAAAGGATGATCGAAATTTGCACAGAAAATTAAGAAAAATTATATTAATTGTCTTGGAGAAATGTAAATATTTCTGTGCTTTTTAAAAAAAAAATTTTTTTTTACATAAGATCCTTTAGAGTGAGCAGTTTTCTTTTGATTAAGACATAATAATGATTAAAAAAAAAATTAAAAAAAAGAATTAATTAATTCCAAATACAAGGTAAAAAAAAAAAATGTTCTTATGCAAAACATGCTTTAATCTAAGATTTACTAATTAAATTTGTAAATCAATAACCATCAGTCACATTAGGACATGTCAATGATCGAGAGTAAGATGCTGTAATGACAGATTTGACTCATAAAATGACTCCAATGTGACTCACTGAGATGTGTTGCTTCGCTCCGTCACACCTGTTGAAAAATCCAAAAATACCCAAAAGGATGATCATGATGAGCTCACTGTGTTTCTGTATCACACTGGATGGCAGGTGTGTGATCCTTAAAAAATCCCCCATCAATGAAAATTAAATTTTTTTCTAATATGTCTAATGCTCAACATCCTCTCAAGCATCAACATCTAATTGACACCTTCTAACATCCAGTGAAAACCATTTTAGCCACATCATTTTTTGTGGTTTGACATCTTTACTCTAGTTTGTGCTGACCATTTGCATTCTAGCAGTACAAATGGTCATCATTACTGCCAAGCGTTTGGCTGCTCAGTGAGGAATTTGAAGGGACTTCATGACTTTCCTATTGCCAGGTATAATTCCCATGACTCCTGCCAATATATGCATCTCATTTTAGTAATAGCTACAGAATGCAATGGAAGCAAGGCTAATTTTCATAACCTATAGCACAGGTTGCGATCTATCCTCAAGTCATCATAATTCAACTTAAAGAACTTTCTCCCAGGCAATTTATCTGGTCCCTAATGATTTTTGTTCCTTGTTTTTGCAAATAAAAGTGCCTCAGGGGTCTCATGATGTGACAGCCCCCCTCGTCATGTCAAAACTCGCCTGTAAGTGGCTGTAGGTCAGAAAAACTGCTATATTGCATGTAAAGGGGTAAAAAGCATGCATGCCGGGTCCTGGATTACTCATCATATCTGAACGTGCCTGCTCGTAAATATAACCGCTTTTGGAGCACATCTTTATACAGAAGAACAGGGGTACAAGAAGAAGATTATACTCATTTCGCCTAAACAAGAGTCAAGGTGAGTTTTAACATGCTCTTTTAAATGAAAAGTTGTCGTTTTGCTATTGAGGGACTTTCCTGTTGAAGAAACTGCATTGCTCGATTTTATGACTGAACTGGTACTGTTATCGAGTGCAAGTTCAAGATTGTGTGTTCACAGATTGGAAAAGTCTGTCAGGTTGGTGATAAACTAGGAACAGCCAAACTGCTCACCTGTTAATTAAAAACACTGGCAATGAAAGGGTGACATTTTTTGGCACATTCTCAGGCTTCAAACTGGAATAGTCAAATAAAAAATGTATTATATAATCCATAATATAGAAGAATCTTCTAAGATTTGATCTGTCTATTAACCCCTTAACTGTCACCCCCCCATTTTTTAAAATAGGCATGAAAGTGCACTATCCAAACTTAAATTGTTGTAATTTATTAACACTTTGGAATACAGACCTAAGGTTGGTCTCTTTTTAAAGAAGTCAGCAGATTATTGCAAAATAGTTTTTTCAAAAAATGAAAGTATCACAAAGTTATAGAAGTTTAAATGTACTGTAAATAAAATGCACTATATTAATTTTATTTTATTTTATTTATTATAAATATTTTACATAACAGGTTTTACTCTAAAATTGGAAAAAAATGAAAGCCTTATGTCTAAATAAGTTATGTTCCAAATTTGAAGTTGATATGAAAAAAATTGAGGTTCCTGTGACATTTTATTTTGGGCGTCATACCACAAACAGCCACCGGGCGCCATCCAAACTCCATTAAAAACATTTTAATGCATTTTTTTTGTCACAAATGGCTAGATTTCTCTGTCAATATTACTTTCATCTCAAAATAACCACCAAATATGGAATCCTGAGACTCAGACCTTTCCAATTATGTTTTTTTGTCAAGATTATAAAAAGGTTTGATTCTAAAAGACCATAATGCATTTTGTAATATGACACTTGACACTATCCACTAAGGGGGAGGAGACCGCCAAAGGATTTTAAAGTACCATTTCTATGGTAACGCAATGTCTGATTTCAAAATGGTTTTCAAAGGATGAATCTTGGGCTTCTAAGCTTTCAAAAAGAGCACCAAGCGTCCCACAGGTGGGACGGTGACAGTTAATGTTTGATGTATAAGAATTACACTTTTTTTCAGCTCAAATGAACCCCAATTATGTGTAGCTTCCATCATCAACATACTGAAAGACTCTAATCTGTAACGGAAAATATCTTGTAAGTATTCATTTGTGGTCATGAGCTTATTGTGTTTAGACGTATAATTTATGATCAAAACTTGACAGAAAAAATGTCATACGTATTACAGAACAAGCACAGACACATACACATACACATACACATACACATACACATACACATACACATACATAAACACGAGTTTGTTTATGCAGTGTGGGTTTAGTGGCTGTTGTTCTAATTTAGTTGTATAATAGATTCATGACTGTAGCTCTGTGTATCTTTCACTCTGCCATTCATGAATGACTCATTAGCAGAGTAATTTCAGGGTGTAGAGCTCCTCGTAGCTTGAGAAAGTCTCTTGAAAGTGAATAAATGCCAGGCGAACACATCATTACTGTTTTACAGGTGTAATGATGACTATTACACGGCAATAGTAGTGATAAACCTTGCTTTGAACACGTGACAATAGCAGAGGTGCCGAAGGTCAAGATTGGTGATAGATGAATGCATGCATGCATGGATGAACATAGAATGAATGGAATGGAATGCTGTATGCTTGCTTCCAGAAAATATATATTTTTAAATATATATTTTTTTAATTAAAATAAATCGTATAATGCATCAATATTGTTATAAATCAGACTTATATTACTTTATTTATTATATTATTATAAAACATTCTTATATTATACTTACATTTATTTATTTATTTATTCAAATTCCAAAATATTTGTTATGTTGTCTCATTTAACATTAAATGTTGTCTACATTCATTTATATTAACATAATGGTGATTGCCATATTACAATCAAAAATAAACAATTAGAGATGGGAAACTGCTTTATAAGAACATAACGTGGAAATGTGTTCATTTTATTATTATTGTTATTGTTATTATTAATTGACTGGTATTAATGTGCATATTATCAATGAGTTTTGAGGAATTTTAATGACTTATTTATATGACATGACTTACTTATTTCTGTTCCATTTAATTTGTTGCTGAATTTATTTCATTTTCATTCGCTTAGCCTGCGGTCAAAAATGTTTTGAAATATAGGCCTATATAAAAACAAAGTACAAAAATGTACTTTTAAACTCACTTTACTAACAAAAAAAAAGTTAATTGAAAGTAATTAAAATGACTTTTCATTAATAAAAAAGTGCTGGGATCAAAACTCCAAAAGCTCCATGATAAGAAAACTGATTTTGTAACGTTTAAGTATCACCAAGACTACTAATGTATTTATAAAATTAAAGGACTGATAATAGAGGTGACCTTTCACAGCAAACTCAGAAATAATTGAATTCAAATCCTTCATACACTATATGGTATCAAGTGTCAGGTGAGGATATTATACAGTGGGTACGGAGGAAAACTTCAGGTTTAAACTTGTTGACTTCAGATGTGATAAGAAGGCTTGAAATCCAAGCTGAAAAATATTTTTATGAGGGGTGCTGGGATTGAACTTGAACTGAAAAACATCAGTGTGTTGATACAGTACAGACTATTTGACATGAGACGGAAAATTATAACTGCCTTGAGGAAAACTTCAGGTTTAAACTTGTTGACTTCAGATGTGATAAGAAGGCTTGAAATCCAAGCTGAAAAATATTTTTATGAGGGGTGCTGGGATTGAACTTGAACTGAAAAACATCAGTGTGTTGATACAGTACAGACTATTTGACATGAGACGGAAAATTATAACAAGTGGTAAGTGCCAATTTCTTCTGAGTAAAAATTCTGTCTTTTTTTTTAATGAATTTTGTGGTTTCATAAATATGCTTTTGTAGTATTTGTTTATTTTAATTTGTACATTTGTAAATAAAATTCAGATGCAGTTTTCTGCATTTTCGTCGCTGGTTAACTAAATGAACACACTTAAAAATGTATATACTGTGTTCTTGAGAATCTTGGATTCAGCAAAGAACCCTCTTGTAACCCAAAAAAAAAAACGTTTTGGCTGTAAAGAATTGAGCTGAGTTGCTGTTTGGGTATTCAGTTAAATTAGTGTATTAGTGTCTAGATTCTTTTTCTAAAAGCTTAGAAGATAAATAATATACTGTATATATATATATATATATATATAAACAAAGAATGAGGTATCAGGCATTAAACTCTTTCTTATTGCATCAGGCATTAAAATCGTCTAATTGTAAACTTTATTTTAAGCAAAGGGAAGGTGTTGCTGCATATTGTAAAAAGAATAGAAGGCAAGAGGAACCACAAAGCTAGGTTTAAAGCAAGATAAAGATCTTTACTAGCTAAAAAGATAATTTAATGGGATGTAAATTAATTTATCAACCACTAAGGATATGCTTTAATGAGCTGCATTTGAAATAATAAGTTGCATTTGAAGGTATCAGGCATTAAACTCTTTCTTATTGCATCAGGCATTAAAATCGTCTAATTGTAAACTTTATTTTAAGCAAAGGGAAGGTGTTGCTGCATATTGTAAAAAGAATAGAAGGCAAGAGGAACCACAAAGCTAGGTTTAAAGCAAGATAAAGATCTTTACTAGCTAAAAAGATAATTTAATGGGATGTAAATTAATTTATCAACCACTAAGGATATGCTTTAATGAGCTGCATTTGAAATAATAAGTTGCTTTTGAAATAATAGTCCTGCATTGTTCATTTTCTATTTGCATGCATTTTTTGAAAAGCATGTTGAATTAATGAAGTTGATGATACATAAAATAAAATCTTTAAAAAAATCTTATTTTATTAATAAGAGTCACTTTGGGTTACAGTAATTAACATGGAATGGACAAGCTAACCACAACCAAGATTGTGAAAGCAGAGGGGGGATCTGGAGGATCTGGAAAAGGTGAGCATGGAAAAATAACACCTTTATATTTCTAAGAATTAAGTAATTTATGACAAATAGTAAAACTGTAAATTGTGCATATAATGTAAATGAATTTGTCCCTTGATCTGAATTATATTAAAAAATGACAGAAATCCAAAGACACACAGAAACTGTAACAACCACAAGACTGTCATCTCTACCTCCAAGTAGGTTTAAACAACATTTCTGACATAACTACACAATTACATTAATAGTTACATTAAAAACTATTAATTGTGCTGTTCTCTAAATTGAAATGAACGCAACGGGAGACCCCGTTCGAAAGGGAACCGTGCGATCTTCTTCGCTGCTGAATGTTATTTGGTGTCTCACCACTAGAAGGCAACAGCAGCTCCGTGAGCAGCCAACAGGTACTGACCTCCACTGTGACCAGCTCAGGCTCTGGAGGAGCTTCAGGAGGAGCTGTTCTGGTGGAGAAGAAGATCATCACCCAGAGCAGTGCTGAAAGAGACGCTTCCAGAAGTTATGTCATATCCTGTGAGTCCAGAAATCATCCAGCTTTAACCAGCTACTGAGATACACAGAAAAAATATTATTATTAAATCACAAAATTATTACAATTATTAATTCACAAAGCTGTTGGTCAGCCTGTGCAACATATCTACTGGAATATCCATAGTAGAGAGATGCATTGCCCAATTATTGAAGTTGATCAGTAATTCTCTCTTCTCCAGCCTCCTCGTCTGGAAGTTCAGGCAGCAGCAGTTCAGGAGCAGGATCTGTGATAAGTGGATTTGATGAAATATCTCGCGTAACCGGACCGATTAGTAGCTCTACAGTTAAAAGCAAAAGCTCTGCAGTTAAAAGCTCTAGCAGTGTCTCTACCTCCATCACAACAGTAGGTGGTTCCTCAGCAACAGGTGGAGATCTTTCCTCTGGATACGGGTGCATCTCCTCCTCTGAGTTTGTGTCTGGTTCTTCAGGCAGTTCTGTTAGTGTTTCTGGAGGCAGTATGAACATATCCAGAGGTAGAGGAGGTGGCGCTGGCTCCTCTGCAGTCATGTCTGCCGCAGGAACCTCCAGCTCCATGACTGTGACCAAGTTCAGCTCCTCGTCGCCTAGTGGCACAAGGAAAGGTTTGAGTTACAGCACAGTTCCTACAGAGAGGAAGACCAGTCTGAGCCTTCACACTGGAGGATATGAGGGTAAATCAGAGATTATGACTCTTTAGGATATATTGATTGATTTCAAATGAGAGGAATTTCACACTGCGTGTGTAATTGTTGATATTAGTTAAAATAGGCATTATTAATCAGATTAAACAGTATGTATGTAATTTATATTTACCCAGGGAGCTCCAGTGGCAATTCTTCCCCTGAATACATAAAGAAAGAATATGGTATGTCCATTTAGTATTTTGTTTTGGGACTGGTCTGAATTTCAGGGGGGAAAACAAATTTGTAATTTGTAGTATGCATGACAGAAATCATTCATTTATCATTAATCAGCACAATTTACAAAACCCACAAACTCACCTTTTTTCTCACCTACTGGTGTTTAACTGGTTCCGCCCCTTTTAAAAATATAGCTAATGGTCTTTAAATACGTCACACCCGTGAACCGTGATTTGCTACCTGCTTGCATGAGGGGCGGGACATGCTCGTTATTGGGAGCATTTGATTGGACATAAAATGTGTGCACAATACGTCATCAATACATATAAATCTATAAAGTAATACGTTATTACAGTATTTATGTCTTTACAATGATCTAGCAAAACAAAACTGCTAGCGGCCTTTTGTTGATTTATGTTCGTGAAAGCGTACTTACCTCGGGTAAAAATAAGCAACGACTGACTCTCTTATAATATGAATCTTGTTCTTGTTCTTCTTGTTATTAGTATTATTATTTTATTTGTGATACTTGCGTTTCTCCAAATTCAGCTTCAATGTTTTGTTGTTTTTTTCGGCAGTTTCGACAAGTGTTGCCACTAGAGGACGCACTCAAACACGAGGTATTTGGTATTTCTGATATATAATACTTAGTTTTACTTCCAGAACTTCACAACCATCTTAAATTACATTTTTTTAAGTAAAAAACGGCTCTTTTAATTTATGTCATCTTTAGGTCTAATTTTAAATCTTAATGTTATCTTTTTCTTTTCAGAGAGTGAGATCAGAGCCAGATTGCAGAGTGCCTCTCCCTCCACTAGATGTCAGTGTTACTCACGTTCAGTCAAAAATCTATTATGTGTTAATTTACTAAGTGGCTAATAATTGCATAATATAATATTATATGTGCATTATTTTCGTTATTTCACCTTTTAAATTATATATTGATTATTACAGTGTATATGCTGCATATAGGATATATGTTATATATATTAAGATATTTTTGTAAGATATTAGTTAGTGTGGCCTTGAGTTACAGAAAATGATAGGTAGTGTCATATATTTAGGGACAGAGCTGGATGATGTGAAGAGATTACTGAAGGGAAGTCGCTCCGGGAGCATCAGTCCACCTCGCTCTCCCACCAACACTCTACCTATCCCGAAAAAAGCCAGTGTGGACACCCGTCATGAGAGCCAGTCAGGTAACACTCACTCACAAGCACAGATATATGCCTGTGATTCACACAGCACAGCCAATCCACTAATTTATGTCTTTCAGGTTATGACGGCACAGTCCTGGATGCTGGATTCAGCGGATATTACACCAGCCCAAACAATCTCAGTTACACCACACTGCAACAACCATCATCACCCATAGGTTACACAGAGACAATGTGGTTGTGTCTGACTGTGTGCATGCATTTCTGTGTGTTAAAGTTGAAGATACTAATAAAAAAAGTAACTGATCATGTGCTGTTTCGTTGTAGGTGGCATGCAGAATAATCTGACCCTCAGCTCATCTGCCTTCAGTAGTGCAGGTCATTACATTCACACTGCCCTCAAGAGGCACCATTACAATGATACACTAAAAAACACTGCACTACACCAAATCTTTAAAAAAAAAAATTTTTCTTTCACAAAAAATAATAATAACTTAATTTTTGAGCTCTGGTTAAATCTTAAAATGCCCAAAAATTGATAAAGTACCTCCCAGCTAACAAAAATACGTTTTTATGAACGTTTTGCTAATGTTCCCATTAAGAAAATGTTATTTCTGAATGTTATCTGAATGTTCAGTGTTTAAATTGTTTTAAAAACGTTTTTTTTTAACAGTAGAGAAGACATTAAGGGAACATTCCATTTGATAATTTAGCAGAAATTGTGGGAACAAACGTCTCTGAACATTCTGAAACAAGTAGTAAAAAATGTTAGATAAATGTCCAACTAAAACATAAAAAAAAACCCGTCATGAGAGCCAGTCAGGTAACACTCACTCACAAGCACAGATATATGCCTGTGATTCACACAGCACAGCCAATCCACTAATTTATGTCTTTCAGGTTATGACGGCACAGTCCTGGATGCTGGATTCAGTGGATATTACACCAGCCCAAACAATCTCAGTTACACCACACTGCAACAACCATCATCACCCATAGGTTACACAGAGACAATGTGGTTGTGTCTGACTGTGTGCATGCATTTCTGTGTGTTAAAGTTGAAGATACTAATAAAAAAAGTAACTGATCATGTGCTGTTTCGTTGTAGGTGGCATGCAGAATAATCTGACCCTCAGCTCATCTGCCTTCAGTAGTGCAGGTCATTACATTCACACTGCCCTCAAGAGGCACCATTACAATGATACACTAAAACACACTGCACTACACCAAATCTTTAAAAAAAAAAAAGTTTCTTTCACCAAAAATAGTAATAACTTAATTTTTGAGCTCTGGTTAAATATAAAATGCCCAAAAATTGATAAAGTACCTCCCAGCTAACAAAAATACGTTTTTATGAACGTTTTGCTAATGTTCCCATTAAGAAAATGTTATTTCTGAATGTTATCTGAATGTTCAGTGTTTAAATTGTTTTAAAAACGTTTTTTTTTTTAACAGTAGAGAAGACATTAAGGGAACATTCCATTTGATCATTTAGCAGAAATTGTGGGAACAAACGTTGCTTTTGAATGGTCTCTGAACATTCTGAAACAAGTAGTAAAAAATGTTAGATAAATGTCCAACTAAAACATAAAAAAAAAACATTATATGAATTATATGAATGTATGAACATTTTTTTGTGCTAACGTTTTGAGAATGTTATTAAAGACCAAACAACTTTGAACGAATGCCCTGTTAACATTACCAGAATAATGTTTGTTGATAACATTGAGAGAACCTTGCCAGAACGTTAACAGAACATTCCCTGTTAGCTGGTCTTATGCTGATGGCTGCCCTCTGTGTTTCTGTTCCTCTCAGCATATGGGATGCATAATAACCTGTCAACATCTGGTGGTGCACTCATGGTTAATGGAATCAGTGCTGGCCAAGGTAAACTCAACCTTGTATCTGTATAATGACTTTAATACACTGATGCAGTGCATGCAAATAACTATAGTAAGAGATTTATGATGTCTGTTTGTACTTCTAGTGTATGGGGCACAGAATAACGTTGGCAGCGCTGGATTGGCCACCACTGTTACTAGTAATAATAATTTTACTTAAAAATGTGTCAGATTAAAACATTGCAACATTACCAAATGAAAATTCTTTCTTTTTCATGTCACATTCACAGCTATTCCCAGCAGCCCTATCACCGCTGATGACGTGTTTGTGAAAGATGGCAAGTTTATTGCGATTGGAAAAGAAAATGTAGCAGCTAAGAAAGAGAGTGAGAGACTGGTCATGTCCAAAAACACTGGCAAACTGTTCATCACTTCCACCACCAGTGCTGGAGCAGGTAGACAGCAGAGACTTTTTTTGTAGCTTAATATACAGTTTAAATAGTAATTTAATTAGTAAAAAAAAATCTAGTTGCTCCAGTTGAACTGGGTAAAATAGTGAAATACTGTATACACTATTGTTCAGACATTTGGAGATGTTTTTAAAAGAAATTAATACTTTTCTTGAGCAAGAACACATTAAATTAATTAAAAGTTACAGTAAAGACATTTATATTGTTACAAAAGGTTTCTATTGCGAATACTGTTCTTTTAAAATATCTATTCATTAAAGAATTCTGAAAAAAAAAAAATGTATAGTGGTTTCCACAAAAATGTCCTGATAATAATAAGAAATGTGTCTTAAGCAGCAAATCAGACAACATTGTCCTCTGAAGGATCATGTGACACTGAAGACTTATTTTAAATTGTAATAATAATATTACTGTATTTTTGATCAAATAAATGCAGCCTTTGTAAGCAAGAGACTTCATTCAAACACGCACACAC